AAGTGTTAAATAATAGGGCATTGTATTTGTCTCATTCCTATCCATTAGAAGGCTATGTCTGCCCTGCGGCAAACTGACACAACCATGGCAACAATGGAGGCTTTTTGGCCTCACTGTTCACAGGCATATAAGACTACATTGGTTATTTGCTAAATTATAGGGTGACAAAATGTCTAAATGCAGAGGTGGCAAAAGTATTAGTCTTAGGTAAACTCAGGTCAACTTAGAGCTTACATATAATAGAAAAATGTATATACTGTATAAACTATAAATTACATCATTGTGTATGTGCTTAAAGGGACCGTTTGTAATTTGCACTCATAGTGGGCTAATAAAGTCATTATAATTTACAATCCCACTTTTGTTGCCAGAATCTAATCTGCCTGTGACATTTGAGATCCACCTACTGGACTCCCGAGACCAGACAAACAACCAACACCCAAACCTCAACTAATCAGTCAAAAACACACTCACCGGATAGTGTGTTCATTGTGTCTTTATTCAAACATTTGTTCAGAATGTGATTTCTACATGTTGACACATCGAGATAATGTAGCATTTTATAATCAAAACGTGACACACTGTCCATTCAAGTAATAAAGTACATTATGTCAATGGTCAAAGGCTGTATTTGCTTTTTTGAAAATGTGATTTTTTGAAAACTTGGTGGAAATATTAATCCAAGCTTTTTTGTGCACAATCACTTTTTAAGGTATTGTTTTTACTTGTGTTGTATACGGTTGTTACCTGTATGTTACCTGTTTTTGAAAAGCTAATTTGGCCATTCTATTTATTAATTCTTTGCACAACCTGCTGTCACTTTGCTTCTGCCCAGGATGAGAATGAGCTTGTAACTATGTCTGATCTGAGCAATACCTTTATTGTGCAATGTCCCTATCAAACAAACAAACAAAAAAATAAACTTAATAGAAAAACTATACATGAATTTCACTAAGACCAATGTCATACTGTGCTCGTCCCATCACAGGAGGGAGAGGAAAACCCTACACTAATGAAAATTACATGCTCACAACTGAGTCTGAAAATCTGAATGGAAAAAAAAGTGTCAACGTGAATTCCAGAATAATGTAGTGTGTGTTCATCAGCGGTTATGAATGTTGTTATGGGTTCATGGATTGTCAGTAAACTAAACAACCACCAGAGGGCAGTGCAAGTCTTCTCAGGATTCTGTCTTCTATGGCGTCCAATGATTTTTGTTTACCATAAGCCTATACATCATATTTATGCTAGAGATTCAGTTCATGACGACTAGGTTTTAATTAATTGTAAATCTCCCAATACATGCAACACTTTGGTAATCTTGGAAGTTGTTCTATATCAGTAACATGCAGAGATACAATGAATATGATCCATGCAGGAATGTGTGTAATAGTTTAATTTATAATTCACTTATTCTTGTCCATATGCTTCTCTTGTCTGAACATACACAGTCAATATTGTACATAATAGTAACTCTTAATACCTTTAACATTTTGCTGTGTACTGTACTCTATTTGTTATTTAGTGCCACTTGAACTGTCAGTTAGATTCTATAGCCCTAAATCACAACAGCAGGCATCTCAGACGACTTTACAAAGTTGTCGATTTGGTTGTCGCCAAAAACAGATCTAAGAATCGCTGATATTCACCTTTATATGCTATAATATAAAATATGTTATGTGATCCAACCTGATTAGCTTGCTCCTACCTCCATCAAAAAATAAAAAAGCATGTATTTAATTCACTTATGTTTATTTGAAACAAGCCAAAACATTTGTAGCTCTACATAACAGCTCAGTAAAATACAGTTTATTCTTTTGCATACATTTCTCAGATGAAAACTCCCCTTCATGCCCGCTCCTCTCTGTATAGGGAATGTGCTGTCTGAATGTAAAGTCAATGGAATGTCAATGTCTAAAGTCTACAACGTTTTCACACTTTGTCTCGAGTAAAAAAAAAATATTAACATGAAAAGCAAACATAGTCTCAACATATAGATTTTCCATGCACACTTTTTGGTATTGCAAGGCTGTTGTGCAAATGTTGGAAGGATGAGCATGTGGTGACAGAGGCATTAGGTTGAACCATTGAGAGGCACTGTACTGATTTTACCTTATTGCAAGTTTTTAGTGCAATGATTTTCTACTGATGAAGTGGGAAGAGTGAGTTTTCCCCTACACAACAAAACTATTACACAAATCATGTTCAGAACACAATAAAAAATGTATTGAAAAATGTACATATGTATATTTCAGTATGTTGTGTAGTGTGCAGCACCTTTCTGCAGAGAGGAAATTCCTTAAACATAGTGCCTCCTGAAAGTACATAATACATCTTGCACACAAACAACCATAAGCAAAGATGTATTTATTTATTTTTACTAAAAAAGGTTTACATACAACTAACAGACAACAGTGAAGTAAAAGAAAATTGATAAATGATGATTATTTTAACCTTTAATTGACCCCTATCCTCAGGTCAAATGGACCCACCACAGTGATTACAAATACCCTAAATACCCTTTTCTTTAAGGGCAGATTTCTGATTACTTAGCTTGACCAACCCTGGGTCATAAAGACCCTTTTAAGACCCTTCTTCTGATCATCTGTGGCAGGTCATTTTGACCCAAGGGTAGCACAAGGGTCAAAAAGTGGGGCATTAAAATGAGTGGATTAAAAATTAATAGCTTTAAAACATTCCAAAGGTCCTGAATGTACACACCTTACAATAATAATCAAATAGAGCTGTGTGTAGTATGACAGCTGGTCCGAGAGGGCCTTAAAGTGTATTGGTCACTTTAGAGCATCATGAAGGCCATAGAGTACACCAGAGAGGTCAGGAATGAAGTTTGAAACAGCTAAGTTATGGGGCAAATACTAATCATACACTACACAAACCTGGCCTTTATGAACAAGAGGTCGATAAAGGGGCAGTGTTGAAATAAAGATGAGACTAACATTTAACCCTTTGGTCCAAATGCAAAATGATGTTCATGACTCACAGCTAACTGCTCATCTCCCTCAGTGCACCAGCCCCAGAGTCAAATATGGGGGCGGCCACATCATTTTATGGGGCTTTTTTTCATCCGGGACACTGAAGAGTGAGAGTTGATGGAGGATGGAGAAAAATACATTATTGGACGAGGAGCTGGGGATTCCACTCAGTATTTACTCACGCTGCATGAATGCTCTACAGGCCTTATTTTTTTGAAAAAGGACAATCATATTTCATTTTGCTTTCACAACACAGTTTTTTGTTACTTGTGTGAACTTTCAATAGTAAAAAAACAAAACAAAAATCAAAACACCCTTTACATTTATGATTGTAAACATACCAAAAGTTCATGGTGTATTAGTACTTTCAAGAGGCACAAGAAAAAACTTTGGCTGACCTTGAACATAAAAGATATATTAAAGAGACTTTAATTTTACATTTGTGATTGCTACATTTTCTTATACATATGAATCACATGTCTTATAATTACCACATACATTTAATGTCTGTGGTAAAAAAAAAAAATCATAAGTGCTAACCTCACCCATAAGTTCAATTTCTTTAGAATTCTTTTTCCCCCAAATCATTTGACAGCATTTATTGCACAAGGCATTTGCAATTAATTTAATTCTTTTAATGTTTTATTGTTTGAACCTTTTCTTCATATCAGCTGGAAATCACTGCAACATTCAGTCTCAGACGCTATACACGTTAAATATAGAATATTATATATATTTATATGTACACACACACTATAGAATACTCTACCCCTGAAAAATGGAAACCTGTCAACTAAGAGCCAAAATATCAGAAAATAAGTGTGGATTTATGATTACAAAATACAACATAATTTTAACTAATTGCTACTTTACAGTACATAAAAATCTTTTAAAAATCATAAATAAGTTATAAAATAGGAATGACTTTTCAAAGGCATTGCGCTGGTCTCTGAAATAGGAAAGGGATGCAGTGATTCTGAATAGACAGCGGCATAGCTTAAATGTTACAGAACCGGTGTGACTGGCAACAAGTGGATATGGGGCTTGTACTGGAAGATTTGCATTGAAATTGGTTGAAAAGATTATTATTATTTGCAGAAAAATAAGCCAAAATAGAATGCCAATATATACATATACTAGACTACTTTCTGATCTTCATTCTCAGCCTCCTCTTTTTCCCCCCCATTTTCTCACTACAACAACCTACAACTACAACTATATTCGCCAATCTCTTCTTTGGCCATCCTCCCATAATCCTCCAATTACCATTTACAAATCAACTTGTTAATAAAATATTTTTTTCTGAATTCAAAATGACAACAGAAAGAATAAGTTTAAGTTTTAGACAGTGATAAGAGCAATAAATACCATTACAAGAATGCTCATTTTGTCTAATTGACTCCTTAAGCTCTTGTTGAAACTAACTATCTCAACCAGTAGTCGTCTTTCAACAAAAACTTATGCAGTAAAAATGAAAAATGAATGAATGAATAGCTAAGTGACAGAAAACATAGCTAAGACATGGTAAAATGATATTAAGACTGCAAGACTGTAGATTTGAATTCAGTCTGCAAAGTATTTCTAACTTATGGAATGCTGTGGTTACATGCGATCTGAGGGCGTGGTCACACCTGTTGGTCGGGTTCAGTTTATCAGTTAATGCTCTGTAAATTGTGTCCAGTAGTCTTAAAACATACAGTATGCTTCACAGATGTTTTTCTCGACTTGACCTGTGAACCAGACTTTGTAAAGTTAAAGTGAACCAGATCAAGAAGAGTAAACATGCACTCATAATGTGAGAAAACACAGCCAATTATCAAATACACTTTCTTTCTCTATCCACTATTTGCACCAACTTAACAAGTTTAATCAATCCCTCCATTAGAGATTCCATTCCGAAAAAAACAAACAAAAACATCCAAATCTTGTTTTACAAGCCCCAATTGCGACGCGGGTCGGCGAATACTTGATGCAAATGTCTATTACAATATCATTCTTACGTTGCGTCTATGCCATGCTGCTTGAACTCCCCTTCTCTGCCGCGATAGACTTGACCAGCTCCTCCACCCAGCGCACTTCGGACGCCACCTGCTCGGCCAGTGCCTCGTAGTGGTTTTCCAGCCGGCTGAACTTGCGCTTGAGGATACTGGTGGACTGCATGGCGAGACGGGCCTCCTCTTGGCTCTTCTTGCGCTGGGCCTGGGTGCGCTGTAGCTCTTGGCGGATGTGGTTGAGGTCAGAGGAAATGCTCAGGTTCTCCTCCTTGTACCAGCTCTCCTTCTCGTCGTAGATGGAGCGCAGCGCGGCCACGTCGTCTCGGCAGGACTTCTGGTTGCGCTCCAGGTCTTGTAAGCCCTCCTCGGCCGCCGCGATCTCCTCCAGGACTTGGGAGAAGCGCTCGAAGTTGATGTAGGTGTTGTTGGGAGGCATGCTGGAGTGGGACTTGATGGTGTACTCCTTAAGGCGGGTGGTTTTCAGGCGCCTGCGCTCGGTCTTAGTGTCACGCTCCTCCTGCCGGACGTTTCTCCTCTTTATGACCTATGAAAGTGACATAGATTTTATCAGCTGCTTTTTGTGTAGTGAGATAAGCTTATGTAGTATCATCCATGCATCGCCTTTCACTTGATGCACTGCCAGGTCTAGGGGGCAGCCGTCTGAGCAGAGATGCCCAGACCCCACCCTAACCATGCACACTTTCAGTCATGCATCGTTTTTAGTTATGGCAAAAAAAAAAAAAAAAATTAATATAATAATTTGGACCAACAAAGTGGTTTTGATTCATTATTTTGACGACAAAGAATACATTAATATAATGAATGTCCACAATAATTAATTATTAAGAACACTACAAAGTCTAAGATTTCAAAATAAATCTAATATAATATGCATTTTGTGCTAAAAACTAAAACATAACAAATTATAATACATTTTCTGTCTGCATTTATTCATCTATGAATTACTTATTTGGACAGTTGGTCCTCCATACTGAAAATTGAAAATTCTAAAATGAAAAGTCTGATCTAAAAATAGCTCCACAACATGATTAGCAAAATTACCTTAATCCATGGGTGTTCCAGACTATCATCTATCGTCATCCTCTTCCTGAAAAACAAGCAGCAAAATTCAGATTAACCACAGGCCGGTTCACAAGAGGTCTCTGGTGTTTTCAGAGCGAGCATGAGCTCAGACTCATACTTGGGATCTTTGACCAACAGGCGGCGGATGAAGTCCTTGGCGAGCTCACTTGTGTTACTGAAATACTCTTCGTCAAAGTCATAGTTCACACCAGAGATGTTCGTCAGCGTCTCCTGCTTTGTTTCTCCCAAAAATGGAGATGCTCCACTCAATCTGACAGAGACAAGAGCATTCATATGTCGTTAGTTAGATCTGTGTTTATCAATAACATGTATTTATAGCAATAGACGATGAATGCCATTAAATAGTGATTATGTATATGTGTTTAAGTGCCTCACAAACCAAAAGTTACAAACACATACAAAGCATATCAAAATGTCAATAAACATATTAGAAATACAATAAAATGGTAATTCAAACTTGGTCATATGCACAGCATAAGTAAGACTGTTTCAGATTCTAGCTGCATTAGATACTATTATACATTTTTACCTATAATTTATGTCTACTAGGATTGAACTTGTCAAGTCCATATAGAATTGTACATATTAATAAAAAAAAAAATGTTGTTAGGCACATAAGCATCCAATTAATAGCAAGTACGTGTTTTTGAATTACGTGAAATGCAAAAAACTGGTTATATTTAATATAATCCTTCATATCAATTATCTGCAAAGTTTAGTCACAAATTAAAATGAATAAAATCTCCAACAAAACTTACAAGATGTATGTAATTACGCCAATGCTCCTGTGAAAAATAAACACAAAAATGAATGGAAAAAGCCACAAACTGGGCACAGCCATGGACACTAAAGCCAGCGTAAAGTCTCACCACATGTCGGCCTCCAATCCCAGTGGCTCATAGTTCACTATTTCTGGAGCTGCAAAGAACAAAGGAGTTGGCCATTTTAATTTGAACCACATGTCCACAGCCCCGGTGGACTTTTCTGCTTCCAAGCATAGAGCAAACTTACCAACAAACTCTGGTGTCCCAAAAATGTTCTTGAACTCATTGCCAGCTTTGATAGGATGAGCAATCCCAAAGTCAATGAGTTTTATTCTGGGATTGGGGACATTTTTATCCAACAACATAATGTTTTCAGGCTGTGAAGAAGAAACAAAAAAGATACAAAAGAAAAAGGCCATTACTAAAAGGTGTAACCAAACATATTGAACCAGTAAACCAGTGGTGTATTCCTAATACTGTAATAATAATAATCATCATTACTATTAATGACATCCCTCAAAAGTCCATCATTTTGAAACAAATCACAACAAATCGATTAGTGTTTTTGGACACATGATAAAACCATTATGTCAAAAGAAAAAGAGGAAAAGTCTCAGTCATTGTTTTTGCTTATAAAGCCTACTCTGTCTGGACAATGTTGTTCATTTAAGTTATGCAAGTGTGTAACCGATTTGGTAGTATGCTTCATGTTGCGTTTTAAACCTGGGGTCTCTAACATTTCATTTTCCCATGAATAATACAAATGTGTGTCCCATCAGAGAGAGTAGAGGTATTATTTAACATTTTAATTTTACACAACATGCCGTCTTCATTTTGAGAGCATTTTAACACTTTTGCATACTGGCAAGAAAGAGCCTTGCGAGTCACTTGATTTGACGCTTTGGCCTGGTCCTTTTCCACTGTTCTGAATGTGCTAATCTAAAAAGGTGTGACAGAGGTCAAAAAATAAATAGAGCTATAACCAAACTGTTTCGAGAGCGAGGAACCAAAAATAATACACCGGTTTTATACAGCGTTTTTCAAACACTCAAAGACGCATCACAATTCAGGACACACACACATACACATTCAGACAGACACACAAAACTAAAAAAACTAAAAGCCGGAAAGAAGAGTACAATGGGCCTCATTCACGAACGGTTCTTAGGAACAGATTTGTACGTAAATCCTACTTACGCGGTTTTTACGAAGAAAGTGGCATTCACGAATATTTCTCGTAACCAGAATTTCTCTTGGGCAAGTACAAATCCTACGAGTCCTCAGGAGCACTCGTACGCATTCAGTGCCGACATGTTCACACGCCGGGGTTGTCCTCTTTGGTGAAGTTGAATAAAAATACAACATTCCAGTGATATGTCCGTCATATTGATGTATGTATTTATTTATTTGTAGTAATCTTTATTAGTAATCTTTATTTATATACCGCCTTTTTCACTGCAGATCTGGCCTACTTTTTAATTCATTTTGAAATGAAATGTGCCAACGCTTTATCAAATACATTGGAAATCTTGCCGTGTATTAGTGACCCCTTCCTATTTATAGGGGGCATTTCTTTATCCACGGGCCACAGAACAACGGCATATATACTGCTGCTGCAGGAGGTTACTGGGTCCGCGCTGAGTCTCTGCGCTGGTCTCTCCTATGGATCTATACGGGTCTGCACTGGTCTCTCCCATGGATCTATACGGGTCTGCACTGGTCTCTCAAGTCTGGTCTATGCGGTCTCTCTTCGGTCCGCGCTGGTCTCTGCGCACCGGTCTCTCCAGTCAGGTCACTCCAGTCTATGCGGTCTCTCCTATAGGTCCGCGCTGGTTTCTGTGTGCTGGACACTCCAGTCTCTCCTCGGGTCTGCATTGGTCTCAGCGCTGGTCCGCGCTGGATCTCCTCCCAGGGTCCAAAATATTTTGAGATTAATCTCAAAACATTTTGAGATTCATCTTTAAAATAATACATAATATATTTTTAAATTAAGCTCATAACATTTTGAGATTAATCTCATCATATTCTTAGATTAATCTCATAGTTTTGCTAGTTCGACTTTATTATCATAATATTTCAACATTTTATAACTTTATTCTCAGTCTGGGTGACTCTTTTGCTCCGTGTAAAGGCCTGTTGCTGTTTCCTCAGCCGTCTGCACACGGCCCTGCAGTCCCTTATATGGGCATTAGTGGGCGGTTACTTATGCTAAGTACCTATGCTAATGAAGCACCTGGCACGCGCGCTGTACTTACGAGGAAATGGGATTCATCAATCTGAGAGAACAGCTGCGAACAATTCAGCGGCTTACGAGTGCGTTGATGAATCCCACGTGGGGACTTCTTAGAAATCTACTTAAGGACAACTTGAGAAGAAAGTTGAGTAGTTTCTTACGAAGTTATTCGTGAATGAGGCCCAATGTTGATAGTAAGAGGTGTATGCTTGGAGGAAGAGAGGAGTTTTTAACTGTTTTTTGAAGGAGTTTAGTGAGTCCGATTTTCTAAGACGGGAGTTCCAGAGGGTGGGAGCAGAGATGACGAAAGCTCGGTCCCCCAAGGGTTGTAGGTGATGAGGAGGATTTTGAAATGGATGCACTGTTTGATGGGGAGCCGGTGGAGTTTTTGAAGGACAGGGTTTATGTGTTCTCTGGAGGGGGTTTGAGTGATGAGGCGGGCGGCAGAGTTTTGGACATATGCAGTTTTTGGAGATCTGATGAAAGAAGGCCTTATAAAAGACAGTTGCAGAAGTCGAGTCTGGAGGATATGAATGCATGGATCAGGATTACAGCGGCAATGGAGGATAAAGATGAACAAAAACGGGCAATGTTTTTAAAATGAAAGAAGGCAGTTTTGGTGATGTTGCGGAGGTGGGGCTTGAAAGAAAGGGTGGGGTCAAAGATAATTCTGAGGTTTCTGATCTGTGCCGACTGCGAGATGGTGTGGCTGTCGACGGAGAGTGTGAAGTTCTGGGTATTGCAAAGGAGGGACTTGTGGCTGATAATAATTATTTCAGATTTTTTGCAGTTGAGTTTTGAGGAAATTGGTGGACATCCAAGATTTTGTTGCGGATATGCAGTTTGAGATGGAGGAGATTGTTGCAGGGGTTATGGATTTGGCTGAGAGGTATAGTTGAGTGTTGTCTGCGTAGATGCGAAATTTGAATCTGTGGTGGTGAATGATGGGGCCAAGGGGGAGGATGTAGAGAATGAAAAGGAGGGGACCAAGCACCGAGCCTTGAGGTACTCTGTGGGTGACCAGGATGAGCAGTTGTTGATAGTGACGTAGTGAGATCTGTTGGAGTAGTAGGATGAAAACCAGGAGGGTGCAGAGCTGGTATAGCAGTGGTGAACTGGAGACGGTGGAGGAGGATGGAGATGGGGTTTTGATAGGAGCCCGGGGCGTCTAAACAGGGTGTGTTGTAGTATGTTACCAGGTCAGGAGTGTTTGTGGGAGAGGTGAAGTTGATAAGTTTTGGGATGTGTGGGTTTAGAGGATGTTGGGACAGAGGGAATTGAGGTTGCGAAATGAGAAAGTGCGGGTTTGCTTGATGTGGGGGTTGGGAATGTTGATGTGAAATGATAGGGCCAGGTGGTTTGATATTGCAAGGTCTGTGGAGCATAGACCTTGTATGTATAGAACATACATACCATATGTAGGTCAGTGGAGCAGATCAGGTCCGAAATGAGTCCGCAGGAGTGGGAGGGAAAGTCGACGTGTGTGAAATTGAAATTTTGCACAACGTCCAGGAAGTCTGTGGATGTCGTGTTGTGTGCAGAGTCAATGTGTATGTTGAAGTCCCCAAGAAGTGGGGACTTCCCAAGACGAGATCGTGCAAAGGTGTGGGATGAATTCCGATAGTTCTGGATGAAAGGATGGATTTTGTTGTGTAGGGGTCAGGGCGGAGTTGATGACAGTTTGTATTGTTGAGATGTTTTCAGAAGTGAAGTTGTAAATTAACTTTTTGTCATGTCTTGCCGTAATGTCAGATGGGGGCAACAAGCAGTGGGTTAGCCGGTGGAGCTGGAAGGAGGAGTAGCGGAGAGCCATGGTGGATATATGTGAACAGATTCAAACACAACTAGCTGTCTTATCTTATTCGAAAATATTGTATCTTCTACATACCGAGAAAGTGCCTGTAAAGATGTGACAGAGGCAAAAAAAATATGTAAATATGCGTGAAAACTAGTGAACCAGAATGTTTTGAGAGCGAAGAAGTAGTTACATGGACTTTACTATTTAGTATTTTTTTTTTTTTTTAAACGTTGGATCCTCCAGCTTTAAAGGAAGGGAAAAAATTGCAATTTTTTGATGACATGTATAAAACCCACAAAGACAAGTTAAAAAAAACAGACAAAATATAACACACCTTGAGGTCAAAGTGTGCGATGCGTTTGGAGTGTAGATAGTGAACTCCGTCCAGGATCTGTTTGAGAAACCCAGTGGCCTCCTCCTCAGTCAGCGACTCCTTCTCAGCCAAAAAGTCAAACAGCTCCCCTCCGGACACGAGCTCCAGGATCAGGATCACGTCGGTTTTGTTTTCAAAGATGTCGTGCAGCGTGATGATGTTACTGTGCTGGATTTCCCGGAGGATATTGACTTCTCTTTCGATCTCCTCGCGGCTCACTCCTCTCCGACTGGACGAGAGACGGCGTTTCTTTATGAACTTAGCTGCATATTCATCCCCTGAGCATCTCTCCTTACACTTGCGAACAATAGCAAACTGTCCACTGTGGGAATAAGAAGCCAAAAAGAAGCTTGGTCAAAGTTATATCGTTCCGTCTTTGTCACATACAGTGAAGTGTCTTTCCCAAGAATGCTGCAATGCTTCTAAGATTGACAAATGCAAAGGCTGCATATGGAAAGACCAACAAAGCATGGAGCTAATTCAGGATCATGTATGACTAACAGCTAGTAGACTTTAAGCGCAGGACCTTGATAAGCAGTTATTTGTATTGTATTTATTAAAAGATATGGACAATAGAAATGAGCAGTAAGAAGTTGTTTTTAGAGATGTGCGCCACATGAAATCCAATGGGCAAAAATGATAGTTCTGATAACCACATTTGGCTTGTGGGCCTTAGTTTGGACATCCCGGGTCTAATGAGTACACTAGTAATTTCGAGGCGCTTCAAACATTTTTTTTTAGATACTTACAACATACAACATAATAAAAAAATATTCCATATTCAAAAACTTTTCTCTAGTGTTTGTTCTAAGCCTACAAACACCAGCAGAGGTAGCACAGAGGGCTGTGATGTCAGCAACTTTGGTGCATTACTGCAGACAAAAACACCTTGGGACAGAGTCAAGTTTTCACCTCTGCTACAGAGCAGACATGTTGAGGAGGTTGCATATAAATGTGTTTCACTGCATAGTGATTAATGAAAAACATTTATAAACAAAACCCAAATCAATATCTACAGGATCAAGATAAGATAGATATAAATGAGCCGAATACTATTTCTGCATAACAGGATTTAGGTTCAGTTCATGGTCCTTTTGTGACATTCTGAATATATTTTCAGTCATAAACTATTACCGTTGTTACAACCAAATCATTATATTTATTTATTTTTTATTCTATTTTTTGTGTACTTTTTTGTGCAGCACTTTGGAACTGTTCTGTTGTTTAAATGTGCTATAGAAATAAAGTGGATTGGATTGGATTGGATACACCCATACACCATGTTGTATGGGTGTTGATGTTAAAAAAAAAAGAATAATGTGAGAAAATCAGAAAGACTTATTTGTGCTTTACATTATTTCAGCTAGTGGTGTGCCATGAGATTGTTTTCAATGGTCCTCAAAAAGATTGAGGACCATTGCCTTACATAACATGTTTTAGGGCATAGTGTTCAGGATAGACAACGTAAGCAAGTCTGAATTCACTGTTGAAAGTTCAGATAAATCCATTCAAAACATACCTGCCCAACTCCTCTCCCATGTCATAGAACTGCTCCACATCCTCCTGTCTGAAACCAGCCATGGCTTTGATAAAGGGATGACGGGAGTCCACGTTTTACTATAGCAGAAATTTACAAATCATTGGAAAACAGTTCAATGTAATAGAAACCTATCCTTTACAGTTACACACAGTCAACACATATTCACAGAGAGTTTACTCCTTATTTGGCTTGAACAAAGTGAGAGTAGTTTTCTTGACTTTGGTCTGATGTCAGAGCTGTGTGCATACCAGCCGCACTACATCATCGCCTCAGCCATCTCCACAATTAAAAGAGTCTGGAGTAGAAGCTCAGTGAGATAAAGAAAGAACAAAACACGTGTTAGACAATATGGTTTGGCTTTTGGGGAAGTAGATATACACAAGGTACGTAAAAGCAACACATAGTTACTTTTAAAGATGAACCCCCCTCTCCTCTCACCAACGCAGAATGCGCATAAAAGCAATAACACAAAAAGATGGATGGATCACACAATCACCGGGAAATAAACAACACAGCACACCACACACACAACCTGAAGTCAGAACTGAAGATTTTAACATGACTAAAATCATGCCACTGTTAGCTTAGCTTTCTGACAACAACTCAGCTAACATTCACAACACAACTATTAAGCTAGCACTCGTTCTAGAAAAATGAGATGTGACAGAAATAAACACATAATCACTAAACTTAATATATACGAGCTGTTTGGAAAAGTAAGAAAAGGTGGAGGAAACTTACATTGCGGCTGGCTACGAGTGCTGCATTCCGGTGTGAGGGAATGCTCGTGTACTTTACAAAATGGAGTCAAACCAGCGTCAGTATGACAGACTATTTCCGGTTTAAATATATATTGCGATAATTTTTAAGTGAAGATTCATAAAAGATTTGTTTTAAACCTAAAATATTACTGGAGATACTATGAAAAAGCAAATATACATGAATGTTTACAGATGAGATAAGATAAGAGTAAGAGTAAAATAGCATATTTTTTTCTAAAGAGTTTATTGTGAAAGGGTAATTTGACGGATAAAGCTTAGATCATTTGGCAGAAGGACAGGCATATGGAGTGAGCTCACCATGATTCGAGCCGCTGTATACGTCAGTGATAACAAGATGCAACATGCTGAGCAGAGATTATAGTTTACTACCAACAAGCCCCAGGTAACATCAAAACAGACCTCATCAACAAAGTATTGGGCTAATGAAACAGATAAGAGATGAACGACAAGCATGCTAGGCCACTCTGAAAACATTAAAGAGATCCTGCAGAGGGGAAACGTCAGTGTTGTATCACAAGTTACAGAACAGAAGGAATGAGGAGCACACTACACAAGTGAATATTAAGTAAAGCACATTTTGGAGCCATGCATCCCTCTCTGTCATAGCCCCTTCATTTCGGTAACAAAGTAAGTTGACGAGAAGCGACCTCTGGTCTGCTCTGCCACCTGGTGAGTGGTCAGACATTATGGTTGCGGTTGGCCCAAGGCCATTGGGCTGTACCTGTGGTGGTGCCTGATATGTTTGAGACGCCGAGATCCCTGAGTGGCTGACCCAGTGTTTTTCAACCAGTGTGCCTTGGCAATGATCCAATATCACCTTCTTGGTCAAAATAATAAAAACAAGAATTACAAGATTAGAAATACTCTTATGCACTTCTTTGATCTTCTATATTATATATTTGGATGATGATTACTTACTTTGTTTAGTTAAGAAAGGCTGTAGAATAACATCAGTTTGTATCAGTTTCAGCTGGTGGTGTGCAATATGATTGTTTTAAGGAAGAGGGTTTGCCACGGCTCAAAAAGGTTGGGGAACACTGGGCTAACCGATGTATTGGCCACCTCAAGGGGGCGCCTCGATTTGGTCAAAAGTGTGACTAACGCACCTTTGGCCATTTTCGACTGGCCAAAATAATGTTTGCGTCTTTTCGAGTGTTTTACCAGGATTTACAGAGATTCCTCACAAATATACTGATTAGTAGTGCACTTTTCAAACATTGTTTTATTTTATTTTTTATTCTTTTTTTTAAAACTTAGAAAACACTTTCACTCCACACTACTGTGGATAATACAAGAAAATGGGGGTCAAAGTGTGCAATATTGATCCAAAATGCACTTTGGTTTTTTTGTCTTAAAAAAAAAAATATGTTAAAAAGTGCATTTTGGATAAACATTGCACACTTTGACCAACTTTGGTTAGTCCTGTGAGGAACTGACTACTCCGTGGGTCATGAACATCTCCCTCGCCTGCAGTGCCTTTCATTGTTGGCATCCATCCTCCCGGCACCTGGAAGTGAGTCATCTCCCTGCACTACAGTTCCTCTCAGGACTCTGACCTGAACAGACACCCTCAGGAAATAGTGGAGACCATATGTGGCCTTGAAACACTTCTCCACCACTTCTGGCCAGATCTCAAAGTCCCGACAAAACATCCTCCACTGCAAAGACAAAATCCCAAACGCATCTTTTACCACCAGCCTACCCTTGTAGTTGAAGTAGAGGGAACCAGAGCTGGGGGGTGCCTTCATGTTGATATGCCTCCCATCTATAGCACCACAGCAAAGAGGGAAGTTCCAACGCTCCTCAAACTCCATAGCCATCAATCTCCACTCCTCTTCTCCAGGCACAGGCCTAAACTCCTACCAGGCCGTCCCAGATGGCTGCCTCCACATCTGGGATGATGTTGCTGCTGGAGATACCCACCCTGAATCTACTTGCTATGTTCCTGAAGGAGTCCCCAAGAGCAAGAAACCTACAATGATACAAATACTTATTTGACAAAAAAAAAATGTTAATGATGTTAATCATTGTAAGCAAAACAAAATGTACTTTCTATGAATGACAGTTATCTAACCAATCAGAAGTGAGTGTTGGTTTTCTTGCCTTCATAACAGCCAATCACAGTGCTCCTCGAGTAAGAGGGCGGGTTCACGCAAACAGCTGGTGGGAGTCCACCGCACTGAGCCGAGCTGAGGTCTATGGAGAAACAACAACAAGCTAGGCATCATGAGGCTTCCTAAACCACTGCTATGGGCCGCTTTACTCATCCACAAGGTGAGCAGCCTTTCCGCTGTCACTTAAACATCACTATATTTATCTCGGACAACAGCACTCGTGCAGAGAAAAGTAGTTTCCCCGGAGCATTAGCTGGAGTTAGCTAGAGCAGCTACAGCTGCATTAGCTTGCGGGTTCTAGAGTCACGGACCAGGCTTCAAACTTCCACTCGCATCCTGCGTGACCATGCGTACACACGCCAGCTCGATCGTTTAAATCTATTATAATGTTTTTTGTTTTGAGGTTTCAGTTGATGTAACCGCTAGTTATTCCGAACGCAATTTTCCATTTAACTATAACATCACATGTTTTTAATTACAAGTAATAGGTTAAGTCAAAAGCCATAAGCCCGTAGGTTAGGTCACTGTTATCATAATTATTATTATTAGAGTCAATGTCCAGTCTACATTGGTTGACATATAGCGTTAGCTACAACAAATGACATTATTTAATACATTTTATGTTTGTTTGTCCAATTTCGTCAAATTGCTCAAATATTACAATTATTACTATATCAGCAAAGTGTTTTATGTTATTGATATAACTTACCTAAAAATAAAACAAGGAGTGGGTTTGAACTTACAATAACCTTGATCAGGGGTTACCAACCTTTTTCAATCGGAGAGCTTGTATACAACAAGAGACAGAGAGCTAGTTACTAATTTTTGCAGTCATAATAAGATTTTTTTTTTTTTATCACAAAACATGGAAAACGCATGTAAAATATACCATAATACTACACAGTCACCCTATATTTACACTCTCTAGCAACTTTATTAGGTACATTCCTCAGAGAGTTTGGTTTAGTTTGATAGCAACATGCAGTTTCTGCAGATTTGTCGGCTGCACATCCATGATGTGAATCTCCTGTTCCATCACATCCCAAAGTTGCTCTATTGAATTGAGATCTAGTGACTGTGGAGGCCATTACAGTACAGTGAACTTATTGTCATGTTCAAGAAACCAGTCAGATGATTAGAGCTTTAGGACAAGGTGTTTTATCTTGCTGGAAGTATCCATCAGAAGATGGGATTCACTGTGGTCATAAAGGGATGGACATGGTCAGCAACAATACTCAGGTGGGCTGTGGCGTGGCAAAAATGCTCAATTGGTACTAAGGGTCTCAAAGAGTGCCAAGAAAATATCCCCCACACCATTACACCCCCACCACCAGCCTGAACCGTTGATCATGTTGTTGACTCCAAATTCTGACTCTACCATCCGAGTGTTGCAGCAGAAATCGAGACTCATCAGACCAGGCAACTTTTTCTAATCTTCTATTGTCCAATTTCGGTAAGCCTGTGCAATTTGTAGGTTTTTAGCTGACCGTAGTGGCACCCGGTGTGGTCTTCTGCAGTTGCAGCCCATCTGCCCTAAGGTTTGACGTTTTCTGTGTTCAGAGAGGCTCTGTTGCATATCTTTGTTGTAACAAGTGGTTATTTGAGTTACTGTTGCCTTTCTATCAGCTCGAACCAGTCTGGCCATTCACCTCTTACCTCTGGCATCAACTAGGCATTTTCGCCCTCCGAACTGCGGCTCACTGGATATTTTCTCTTTTTCAGACCATTCTCTGTAAACCCTAGAGATGGTTGTGTGTGAATCTCAGTAGATCAGATGTTTCTAAAATACTCGGACTCTGGCACCAACAACCATGCTACGTTCGAACTTCAAAGTCACTTAAGTCACTTTTCTTCCCCATTTTGACGCTCAGTTTGAGTCCTCTCAGAGAGCTCCTGACTTGACCTAAAAACTCCTTGCTAGGAAAATTCTCAGAGAACTCTGAGCAAGCCATGGACTGAAAGATGTATAAGGTATTAAGGAAACAACAGTATAAACATATCATGCATACACTGTACAAATAAATTGTATATTATTGTGAATGTATGCAGTGTTGGGTGTAACGCGTAACACCAAACACAAATTTTTGTTTACTAAGTAACGTGTTACTGTAACAAAAGTACAATTTAATTAACGTAGTAGTGTAACGCATTATTATGAAAATAGTAATACGTTTAATTATATTACAGTTACTACCTAAATACTTGGTTACCGGCGGCACCGGCCTCGGAAAAGCAGGGGAAAACTGCACTGGTGAGTTTGTTTGTAAAGCACATGTAAAGCTCATGGCTGAGCCAGAGGAGAGGAATTAGTTTTACCGATGGAGATATGCACACTATTTTAACTATATCAGTCAAAAAGCGATTGCTCCGTTCACATTATTCCAGCGGCTGTAGATGCTCCGGCCGTGCTCTGTGCACTGTATTTTCCCTCCTTCTGGTCTGTCAGGCGCGAGGGCTACGTATGAGGGAACTAATTATTTTAAAATAGTCTTTCAATTGCAAGTTTTATAATGCGTTTTGTTTGATCAATGGATAAAAGTAAATGCAATGTAATTTAGGAGTGTGACGATATATTGTGATACTTTCTACCGCGATTGATTATCGATATGCATTTGCCAAGTATCGATTTTGGGAAAAAACAAAAACTACATTACGCATCTCCATTCCATTTATCATGAAATAAATTGTATTTTTTCACTTACATTATTCTTTCATTTATGCCATAAATTGGCATATGGTATATTTCTGACCAATATATCGTGATATAATCGTTATCGTAAGCTTTGTATCGCGTATCGTATCGTGAGGTACCCTGAGGTTCCCACCCCTAATGTAATTTAAATGGGACCTTGGCCTGTCTTATTATTACTTGTGTGCCTTGCAGGACAGTTCCTTTTACAAACATACAGTGGGGCAAAAAAGTATTTAATCAGCCACCGATTGTGCAAGTTCTACGACTTAAAATAATGAGAGGTCTGTAATGTTCATCATAGTTGAGAGACAGAATGTGAAAAAAAAAAAATCCAGGAATTTACATTGTAGGATTTTTAAAGTATGTATTTGTAAATTATGGTGGAAAATAAGTATTTGGTCAATAACAGATTCAACTCAATACTTTGTAATATAACCTTTGTTGGCAATAAACAGAGGTCAAACGATTACTATAGGTCTTTACCAGAATTGCACACACAGTAGCTGGTATTTTGGCCCATTCCTCCATGCAGATCTTCTCGAGAGCAGTCATGTTTTGGGGCTGTCGCCGAGCAACACAGATTTTCAATGGGGTTGAGGTCTGGAGACTGGTTAGGCCACTCCAGGACTTTCAAATGCTTCTTACGGAGCCACTCCTTCGTTGCCCGGGCGGTGTGTTTGGGATCATTGTCATGCTGGAAGACCCAGCCACGTTTCATCTTCAAAGCTCTCACTGATGGAAGGAGGTTTTGGCTCAAAATCTCACGATACATGGCCTCATTCATTCTTTCCTTAACACGGATAAGTCGTCCTGTCCCCTTAGCAGAAAAACAGCCCCAAAGCATGACGTTTCCACCCCCATGCTTCACAGTAGGTATGGTGTTCTTGGGATGCAACTCAGTATTCTTCCAAACACGACGAGTTGAGTTTATACCATACAGTTCTACTTTGGTTTCATCTGACCACATGACATTCTCCCAATCCTCTGCTGTATCATCCATGTGCTCTCTGGCAAACTTCAGACGGGCCTGGCACTGCAGGATTTGATTCCCTGTCGTTGTAGTGTGTTGTTGATGGTAACCTTTGTTACAATACACAATACAATTCAATTTATTCTTGTATAGCCCTAGGTCACAACAGAAGTAATCTCAGAGGACTTAACAAAACCATTGGAATCACCAACACAGGTCAGAGAATCAACAGTTAAAACACATGAAAAATATAAAGCACACACAGAAGAAAATGTCCATACATGTTGTAGAATGCTAAAGTGTCCTGATCATCACCAATCCTTTCTGTTGGACACTAACTGTCCAACAAGACCCTCCTGCATCGACAAGGAAAAACTCTTAAAAAAACCCAGTGGGAAAAAGTGAGAAACCTTGGGGAGAACTAGGGAAACCCACAGGGAGAAAGACCCATTTGAGAAAGGGATCCGCTCCTCCGGACGGACAGGCTAATGATCTAGGACCTAAGCTAGCTACAGAACGTGGACCAGTGGCCGCTGAACGTGGACAGGTCCGGTGCAGGACTGAAGCACTCCCAGGCGGGTCGGGCAGGGCAGTCCGCAGGTGTAGATGGAGGAGGCCAGGCTCAGAGATCCCGTCATCGTACCATGAAACAGACAATGGGACAACGGGTGAATAGCAATGAACAAACTACAGTCAAAATCCTAATAATGCTAAACAGATAAAGTAGGAAGGAGGAGAGGATAGTGCTCAAGTTACCATACTTCTCCCAGCAAACTGACTCCCTATGCAGCTTGACTGACAGTCTGAGGAGTTTAGCCTTCCCTGAGTCTTACCTTCCTAGCCATATGCTAAACTAAAGAGGACTGTTTTAAACCTAGCCTTGAATAAAGAGAGCGTATCTGAAAGGAGGTGAGACAGCAGCAGCCACGGCTAGGCTAGCCTAGGTTACAGCACCAAGATTCATGGATTGCACACCAGGTGTGCAAACCTAATTATATATCATATATATCACATATACCATACATATTTTATATACAGTGCCTTGCGAAAGTATTCGGCCCCCTTGAACCTTTCAACATTTCGCCACCTTTCAGGCTTCAAACATAAAGATATAAAATTTAAATTTTTTGTCATGAATCAACAACAAGTGGGACACAATCGTGAACTGGAACGAAATTTATTGGATAATTTAAACTTTTTTAACAAATAAAAAACTGAAAAGTGGAGCGTGCAATATTATTCGGCCCCTTTACTTTCTAGTAATTAAATTGAAATCGAACTTTTTGGCCACAATGCAAAACGATATGTTTGGCGTAAAAGCAACACAGCTCATCACCTGAACACACCATCCCCACTGTCAAACATGGTGGTGGCAGCATCATGGTTTGGGCCTGCTTTTCTTCAGCAGGGACAGGGAAGATGGCTAAAATTGATGGGAAGATGGATGGAGCCAAATACAGGACCATTCTGGAAGAAAACCTGTTGGAGTCTGCAAAAGACCTGAGACTGGGACGGAGATTTATCTTCCAACAGGACAATGATCCAAAACATAAAGCCAAATCTACAATGGAATGGTTCACAAATAGACGTATCCAGGTGTTAGAATGGCCAAGTCAAAGTCCAGACCTGAATCCAATCGAGAATCTGTGGAAAGAGCTGAAGACTGCTGTTCACAAACGCTCTCCATCCAACCTCACTGAGCTCGAGCTGTTTTGCAAGGAAGAATGGGAAAGAATTCCAGTCTCTCGATGTGCAAAACTGATAGAGACATACCCCAAGCGACTTGCAGCTGTAATTGCAGCAAAAGGTGGCGCTACAAAGTATTAGCGCAAGGGGGCCGAATAATATTGCATGCCCCACTTTTCAGTTTTTTATTTGTTAAAAAAAGTTTAAATTATCCAATAAATTTCGTTCCACTTCACGATTGTGTCCCACTTGTTGTGGATTCTTGACAAAAAAATAAATGTTTATATCTTTATGTTTGAAGCCTGAAATGTGGCGAAATGTTGAAAGGTTCAATACTTTCGCAAGGCACTGTATTATATACAATACATAACATAACATACAGCATAATATATAACATAATATACAACATAACACAATACACAACATAATATTGTATAATATATAACATAATAAATAACATAATACAGCATATATATATAATACATACACCATATATTATATATTACCTAATTATGCTAAATTAAAGTAGAGTGCTTTAAGCCTGGCCTTGAACGTGGAGACCGTATCTGCTTCCTTAACATGAATGGGAAGCAGATTCCACAGTAAAGGAGCTTGGTAGCTAAATGCTCTGCCGCCAACAGTTATTTTTGAGACCGTGTTACTTTGGTCCCAGCTCTCTGCAGGTCATTCACCAGGTCCCCCCGTGTGGTTCTGGGATTTTTGATCACCGTTCATTTTTACCCCACGGGATGAGATCTTGCGTGAAGCCCCAGATCGAGGGAGATTATCAGTGGTCTTGTATGTCTTCCATTTTTTGATAATTGCTCCCACAGTTGATTTGTTCACACCAAGCTGCTTGCCTATTGTAGATTCACTCTTCCCAGTCTGGTGCAGGTCTACAATTCTTTTCCTGGTGTCCTTCGACAGCTCTTTGGTCTTGGCCATAGTGGAGTTAGGAGTCTGACTGTTTGAGGCTGTGGACAGGTGTCTTTTATACAGATAACAAGTTCAAACAGGTGCTATTAATACAGGTAACGAGTGGAGGACAGAAGAGTTTCTTAAAGAAGAAGTTACAGGTCTGTGAGAGCCAGAGATCTTCCTTGTTTGAAGTGACCAAATACTTATTTTCCACCATAATTTACAAATAAATTCTTTAAAAATCTTTAAAGAAAAAAAGATTTTTTTTTCACATTTTGTCTCTCACAGTTGAAGTGTACCTATGATGAAAATTACAGACCTCGGTCATTGTTTTAAATGGGAGCACTTTCACAATGGGTGGGTGACTAAATACTTTTTTGCCCCACTGTATACTAATACTAAAATAGGGTGGCGTTGTTGCAACAATTAATCTACTTAGAAGTTATCCTAGATTACTAGCAGCTAAAGCTCGGTACAACGACAAATGAAAAAGTAACGCAATAGTTACTTTTACTGGTAACTAGTTACTCAGTAACTCAGTTTTTGGGAGAAGTAACTAGTAACTCAGTTTTTGGGAGAAGTAACTAGTAACTATAACTAATTACTTTTTCAAAGTAACGTACCCAACTCTGAATGTACGTCACTGTTCCATAACTGAAAATATACCACTGACTAATACATCGAGGATTTTTGTGAATGAAACAAAACATACTGTATATTTGTATATCATCATGTATTGTGTCTTTTTCTATTCCGTTGTTGTTTTTGTTTGTTGTTGTCATTCATTCATACAGAATGTGTGAAAACTTAGGCCCACTTGCACAGTATTAACACAGTGATAGTTATATTTATTTGCTTATATTAATTGCCATGCTGGTCATTTTTTCTCTTTCAACTTTTACCATTTCTACTCACTTTGGTGTAACGACTTCTAGCTCAATCCAATCTGTAGCATTTCACTAATTCACTGTCATCCATTGTTTCCTCCGCAGCCTAAAGCCCGGTTAAAGTGTGCCAGGGCCCGCTTTGTAGTTTGATCCGGGCTTTAGGTGCAATGTGACCGCGGCATTCGCGCCGCGCTGTTCAAAACTGCGGCCAGGGCCTGCTTCCCAGCGCAGATGAGGGGGGTCAGTGTCGCGGGGAGTGGGGGATGAGGTGTGGTTAGGACTTGATATTGTGCGTCACATTATGTCTTCCTGTGACACGCACTTTTGTATTCTCCGCTTGTGTTAAACCTTTCATATAAACCCATGTACTGTGCTGGAGGGGCGCTGGGGGAGTGTCTCTGCAGAGCCAAAGAAAAGCGTTTCCTATAGCTCTCTTCTGTCCTGACCGTTATTATTATAGATCCATGGTCCTGACCCTCGCTCTCAGTGTGGTGCTATTGCAATAACACTTCAGACATTCAAGAATCAGTCTTTATTTAATCACCAGAACACACACACACACTTGTAACCTCCCTGTCTGCGGTCGATATGCTCGTACTACACACTTTTCATTCTCATTCATTAATTTCTCAGGCTGCGCTCTTATGCTCGTTGCTAAAGTGTGTGTGTGTGTCCGCGGCGCGCACACACACGTGTGCATTCACGTTACCCACAGGTTACCCACACGTTACCCACACGTTACCCACACGTTACCCACTGAACTGCTGCACTTTTCATCAGAGCAATTTGGACAAGTGTGAGATGTATCTTTCCCTAAACAACGCGATCCGTACTGAGCTGTTAGCTACTGTAGCTGTTAGCTACAGTAGCTGAATGTAAACAGGAAAATAAACATTTCATTTTATATGTACCTGGCGTCACAGTAGAATGATCAAATCAGAGGCTCATTTGGTCGTTTTAAAATGTCGCCAAAAATGTGTTTTTGTCAATCTTTGCTTTTTTCCACACTATCTCTTTGATATGTCTGTTGAAATATTTTTTCCAATCTATGATAGTCATTTTAGATTTTGAGTTATAACCTTTTAAAGTCCAGATTCTTTGACACTTTCCCCTGTTCATGACTTGACCTTTTATTTCATAATCGATGAATAAGTTGCATCTGTTTGTGTTGTTCAGGTCGTTGCAGAATATGGCATGGCTCACATCAGTGACAAGGATAAAAGCAAAGGAAAAGATTACTGCATTTTCTTTAACTCCCAGTGGGCACGACTTCCGCAGGACCTCAACAAAGCTGTGAGTAACACGTTCACAAACATGGACAAAAGAAACCACTTGGACATGCACTACAATAATTGTAAAACACATCATTAAAAACACTTCTAAAAATAAATCAAACGGCCACAAAAGTCATAGATATGCTCTTTAGAAATAAGTTTTTCCGAGTCCTATTTATGATCTTGACACCCACAGATTCAAATGTTTACATATATATTTAAATCATCTCGACTTCTGCAATACCTCAAACATACAGCACGGGGCTCGTTTGTGGTATTAGAAACCACAAACTAGCAATTTGAAAGTTTTTCCTTTTACCAACTGCCATTTTTAGGATAATCCCATAAAAACATTGTTAAATATTATTTGTGGTGGGGTGTTTGCAAATGATGGATATTTTGGCAATACAAAATGACAATGAGACTATAGTTTTTACTTCTTATGTCATCCCATGTTTTAGAATGTGAAATCATCTCAAGTAGAAAATGTACAGTGAAACAAATATGACGAGTCAAAAAGTCTTTCCACTTGTAACTCCCAGGAGTCGAATATTTTTATTTTTTTCCAAACTTGATAATAACAGGCTAAAACACAGCCATGCGATTGTAAAGAATATATGTTTATTATTAAATCTGCACTTGCCCCAAAACAGTTGATCTTGTGACTCTGCTCAGTGAAAGGAAAGATGACTTACTTGTGCATTGCATCCTCAAAATATTTACAAAGAATACAATGTTATATACTAACTTTTCTCTGATATCTTGCAGTCGCGCCTGCAGATCTATGACCTGACGAGCTCCGTGCTGTGCTCAGCCTCTGAGGTGCCAGAGGGGGGCTTCCCAAACTGTATCCCCATGGTGCTGAGGGGAAACTGCACCTTCTATGAAAAGGTCAGACTGGCTCAGATCAATGGAGCCAAGGGTCTGCTCATCGCCAGCAAAGAGAGACTGGTAATCCTTCCATTACCTCCACTACAACAACTGGAATTAACAGTAAGTGATAAAAGTGTTTGAATTGTCTTCTTCTGTTGTGTGCAGACACCGCCAGCGGGGAATAGAACTCAATATGAAGAGATCGACATCCCTGTTGCACTGCTCAGTTATGCAGACATGCTGGATATAAGCAGCGTAAGTTCTTATTATAATTAATATTGTACACAGAGAGTCAAAAAATACTTCAGCTACATTATCTTTTGTTTTCAGTGACAATAACTGTATTGCATCTTAATTTAGGAAAACAGCTTTTCATTAAAAAAAGCAACATTAAGCTCTTTACTTAAAAAATAAAATAAAAATCCCACATGCCCATGACCCATAACTCCAACACTCAACAGACCCACTCCAAATCACACTCACACAAACACGCACACAGCACACAGCCCCAGGGGCAGAGAGCCGCCTGCAGCCACAGGGGGACGATGCAGGAGTCTTGTTAACATGAGGCAAAAAAAATCTGCTTTATTGATATTTACACCAGGAAAAGAACAGGACCAGCCAAGTCAACACATCTTGTCTAAATGTCACCAAACCAGGAAAAGAGCTCTTGAGATCTCAAACAACAACATGATCCAGCACTTGTTTTCTTTCAGAGTTTTGGAAAAGGGCAGCTGGTGGCTATGTATGCTCCCAACGAGCCTGTGCTGGACTACAACATGGTCATTATCTTTTTAATGGCAGTTGGGACTGTGGCCATCGGTGGATACTGGGCCGGCAGCAGAGACAATAAGAAGTAAGTCTTAAAATCCCTGTAAGATGTATCGCCCATTTCAACCACACAAAGTAGGTTTTGGTCTATTTTTACTGAATTTAAAGTCAAGGATATTAAGTATGCTCCATTTCTATAGCAACACGTACCACAGTCACTCTTTACACTGTGGTTGTACTTTCTGTATGTAGCTCAACCCCTTCCTTACAAACCATTCTAATTGATGAAAATAAGAGGGTTTTTCTGAGCTGTATCTGGAGCAAATTCATCAATTCATGATGTCCTATTGTTTTAGACGTTCACTACCTCATAACGCCATGTTTGTTTGACTGACTCACGCTTTCAGAGGTGACAGTGGTCTTTGACTCACTCGGGAAAATCTACTCCAGTATTTACTGACTACATATTTGTGGCTTTAAAAGGAAAAAATCCAGTTCTGCTCCTTCATTAAAGCATGTTTTTTGTACAGAACTATTTTCTGAAGTCTGCATAGTGTAGGCCTGGGCCAACTTTTCCTCCTCAGAGCTACATTAGAGTATTAGCCTGGGGGTCTTTTTCTCAGGCATAATTATTTACAATTACAACATATTTTTAAATATATATTGTAATAAATATATTCTTCAGCAGAGTGAGCAGTGCAACTGTGGCTCCAGATCTCTGCATGCGGCACAGAGGGATTTTTTAGTGCAATGATAATAATGGTGAACTTCCTTCAATCAAACAAACACATAGGAGCCATTGGTCCATTGAGAGTGGGATGACCAATGTTCATAATGTTATTAAATGCCCCGGATCATCACTGTCCTTAGACCCTCCTGTATCAACAAGAAACCACTCCTTAGGTAGGGAGAAACCTCGGGGAGGCACACATTGAGACAAGTACTTGCTCCCACGGACGGACAGGCTATAGATCTAGGACTCCGGCCCCGTTTATACGGAGGCGCTGCGCAGACGTTACAAAGCAAATAACAGAAACGACTAGGCTTCTGCACAGTGTTTAGATGGCACGTGAAGACAAAGTAGTTCTAGCGCCCGGCCAGTAGTGGGCAGTGGAACTTTATAACACGACACATGCAACAGCAGTATACATAGTTCCTACATGACGTCACTACATACGGGGATTTGCCGACCCGGCGCCATTTGTGTTGGCATTCTGTGGGCAAAACAATAGAAAAAGAAGCTGAAACGTGTTAATGTCGTGATAAAGTTGAAAATGGTCATCTCCTGCTGGGTCAATGGATGTTCAAATCGTGCCGGAGGTTCCGTTAAACTTGGATTTTACAGTATACCCATCATTAGACTTCATGAATGTGAGAAGACTAAGCTTTTGTCAGAACAACCACGGAGGTTATGGCTTGCGAAGATAAACAGGCAAGAAACTCCCTCAAAACACGCAAGAATATGCTCGGAGCACTTTGTGTCAGGTGCGTATCGTATCTTATAATGTGTTGACAGACGTAATTTACTCAGTACTAACTTGTGTATGCTGATAGCTGGTAACTTGAGAGTTTCATTATTTAGCGTTAGATTACTTTATTATGAGGAGGATCGGTGTCGCGTCCGAGGCTCTCAAAGGCAACGTAAATGTATTAAATAGATAATAATAGTTCTATGGTGGGCTAAAACAATGTTCACAAACAGCATTGCTTCTGTAAAAAGATCTGTGTCATAAAATAAACTGCTCTTTACGCCTGGAAAAATCAGTTGCCCACCATTCACCAAAACATACGGTCAAAAACGCGGAAATAAACAATAACAGCAATCCAGAGTGTCCGTGTGGCATTAGCATTAATTAAATTAATTGTTAATATAATTAAAATAATTAAATGGAGCTCCAACTGGTATTAAATCTAAAGTTTTTGAGAAATTTTTGCATTGCTTGTTAATTCTTGCTGCATAATTTGATCAAATATGTAAAACATGTCCGTAGCACGTTAAACTGTGGTGCCATTGTATTAATATACAATTATTTGCTCAAAAGTTGCCCTTTTTTTCCAATTTGCGTTTGAATATCTACATTTATTCTCATTCTTCTGTTTAATGGAATGCACAAACACAGCAGCGTGCCATCAAAGATGGCGTCTCCGAGGAGGTCATGTGACATTCATTGGTCTGTGGGAACTATGTATATTCACTTCCTCAACAACATCCTCCTCAGGCCACCGCAAAGACGTGAAAGAATGCACCATCATCATTCTGCATTTAAGAGCAGCAACAAAAATGGATACTGAAACTAGAGCTATGAAACTAGAGTAGAACCATGACAGATAAAGTGGGAAGAGGAGAGGATAGTGCTCAAGTGATGATACTTCTCCCAGTGTGACAATCTGTGTGTTTTAGATTTAAGGTTGTATTTCTAAGTCTCACCTACTGAGCCATATGCTCAATTAAAGAGGAAAGTTTTGATCTACAGTGTTGTTGTTGATCAGTCTCTGTGTGTGTGTTCCAGACGTTACATGAAGCACAAGCGAGACGATGGCGCAGACAAACAGGCAGAGGACATGGTGGACGTCACTCCCATTATGATCTGTGTGTTTGTGGTCATGTGCTGCAGCATGCTGGTGTTGCTCTACTTCTACTACGACTACCTCGGTACTACAGTACACACCTGAACTAATACTAGTGTACATTTACCACATGTATAAGTCCATATGTCTGTTGCAGCGTTTTGGGTGATTGCCGTCTTCTGCCTGGCATCCTCTGTGGGGCTCTACAGCTGCCTCTGGCCCTTCATACGCAGACTACCTTTTTGTAAATGCAGGTATGTCTCTGTAGCATATGATATAGCATTGGCATAGGAAGGCAAGTTTATTTGTATTGCACAATTCATAAACAAGCTTCACAAAACTACAAAGAAACGATGATACAAGGAATTAAAAATAAACAGAAATAATCACACAGAGCAAAGATACAATCGTACAGTTGTTTGCACAGCTCAACAGAACTTTTTAAAACCCGGAGTTGATTATTGTCAGAAGCCTGTCTCACTTTCTCAGAAAGACTTTTCCAGATTTTTGCTGCATGTTAGGATGTTTCATCCTGACTCTGGGCACCAGGAGGAGGCCAGTCCCTGTGCTCCTCACAATCCTAACCCTAACCTATGTCTTATATGACATGTTGGTGTTACATATCTATGTGTTCATAAAATAAGTCATGATTTTGCCTATAATATGAGTAAACATATGATCGCAATGTCTCCTTAAGTCGACACAATTTGGTTGTACTCTGCAAATGTACCAATGTCACCAAAAACAGACTTGTGCCGTGTCTTTTTCATTGCTGCTCTGTCCTTGAACCCTTTTGGTCTCCTTTGTGACCTTTTGGGCCCAGCGACAGTGCCATAGCAACGGCTTGTTTGTAACTGGGGCACTCTCAGACTGCTCTTTTAAAAGCCAGTCACATAAAAACAGTCACTACTTTCTGAAATAAAAAGATGTTTGTGCTCTTTTAAACGTGGCCCTGAGCTTGTGTCTCTCTACGAGTTCTCGCTGTACAACTGCATTGGAAGCTGCATGAGTGAAAGTGTATTTTTTTCAGGATCCCGGAGAACAACCTGCCGTACTTGCACAAGCGGCCTCAGATCCGGATGCTGCTGCTGTCGGCCTTCTGCGTCGCAGTCAGCCTCACGTGGATGGTTTTCCGCAACGAGGACCAGTGAGTGAATGGTATATTACATGTGATGGAACAAAATGTAAGGCAAACAGGGTGTGCTGATGTGGAGGAGGTCAGACAGGTGTGGAGGAGGTCAGACAGGTGTGGAGAGAAGGATTTTAAAGTTTGTTTTATGGGAAGCCTGTCTAACTGTTGGAGCTGAAGTTTCTGGAGGGATTTGTTGGGGATACCAAAGAGGAGGGACTTGTCGTAGTCAATACGGGACGTAACAAGACTGGACAAGAATGGCTGTGGTTTGAGGGGTGAGTGAGGGGCGGAGACGGAGTGAAATAAGACAGAGCGGGTGATGTTATTGATGTGAGCGTGGAACGAAAGTGTGTTGTCGAGGATGATACTGGCGATGTCGACATAAAATGTAAGTAATTTTAAAAAGGCCTAAACAGCCCTGTTTCCACCACCCCCCACCTGGTCCTGCTGAGTCCTACTTGACTCCTCCCTACCATGATTGGGAGTGTTTCCACAGACCCTGTTTAACTGGTACCAGGTACTTTTTATTACCTACATGGCCCTGGTTCTATCCAGGATGCGTGTCGAGTAGAGTAGTGCCAAGTAGTATTAATGGGGCATTCTGCAACTTTTTTTGTTTTTTTTTTGGGAATAACCAAAAAAGTTAATAAGTTTTATTTGTCTCTTGTTCAGGTGGGCCTGGGTGTTACAAGACACACTGGGAATCACCTTCTGCCTCTACATGCTCAAAACAGTGCGACTCTCTACATTTAAGGTACAATTACAATATTTCCATTGCATTCTTTTCCTCATAAATTCACAAAAGTAAATGCATTCCCTCCTTCAGGCCTGCACGATACTGCTGTCAGTACTGTTTGTCTACGACGTCTTCTTTGTTTTCATCACACCATTCTTCACAAAGGTACTTCCACGTTTCCCAATTCAAAGCCAGTTGCGGTCTTGTTTTTTTACTGTGCATTTTCCGCCTTCTTCAGAGCGGCGAGAGCATCATGGTGGAGGTGGCAGCTGGTCCGTCAGACTCGTTCACACATGAAAAGGTCAGATGTTTCTCCAGACGCTGCCTTTCTCTTGTAAAACTTAATGTACGTCTGTGTTTTATTCTGTATGTATGCCATGTTTGTGTGCGCCACAGCTGCCCATGGTGCTCAAAGTGCCACGGCTAAACTTCTCTCCTCTGGCTCTCTGTGACCGGCCCTTCTCTCTGCTGGGATTTGGGGACGTCTTAGTACCAGGTAATGTTCAAAATTACAACTCAGGTTTGCATTAAAAAAAAAAAAAATCTCTGTACTGTTTTGGTGAATCGACAAATTTAAATATAAAGTCCTCCGAGGTGACTGCTGTAGTGATTTAGGGCTGTACACAAATGAATTGAATTGAATTGAATTGAAAAAACGACTCAATCAAGTCAAGTCATTATAGTTGAAAGGGCTCGTTTTGCAAGAATAGATTTTCTATTTTTATACATTTGAAAACCACTGAATGATTATACACTGCTCACAAAAACTTAGGGCACACTCAAAAATCACAACGTAACTCCAAGTCAGTCAAATTTCTGGGATATCAGACTGTCCAGTTAAGAAGCCACATGTTGTGGAAATTAAACAGACAACAGGTGGAAATCAGAGGCAATTAGCAAGATCACTCCAAAAGAGGAATGGTTTTGTCCATTAGCATTTCCCTGTCTTCATCCTTTGCACCACATTTTTGGAACACTTTTGCATTTGTCCAGTGTTCTCACCAATAGAGGTATTATGAGGAGGCATCTACAACCCACAAAAGTTGCCCAGGGAGTGATGCTCATCCAAAATGGCATGTCCAATCGTGCTGTGGCAAGGTTTGCTGTGTCTCCCAGCGCAGTGTCCAGAGCATGGAGGAGATACCAGGAGACCTGGAGGGGGCCAACCGTGGTCAACAACCCAGCAGCAGGACCGCTATCTGCTCATTTGTGCACAAAGAAACAGGAGAAGCACTGCCCGAGCCCTAGAAAATGACCTCCAGAGGGCCACAAATGTGCATGTTGGTACTGAAACATGCACTCAAACATGCACAACCAACTCCAAGAGGGTGGTATGAGAGCCCGACGTCCACAAGTTGGGCCTGTGCTTACTGCCCAACACCGTGCAGCCCGATTGGCATTTGCCCGAGAACACAGCGTTTTTCAGATTGTCCAATGGTGCCCTGTGCTCTTCACGGATGAGAGAAGGTTCACCCTGAGCACATGTGACAGAGTCTGGAGAACGTTCTGCTGCAACATCATCCAGCATGACCGGTTTGGTGGTGGGTCAGTGATGGTCTGGGGACGCATTTCATTGGAGGGCCGCACAGCCCTCCATGGGCTGGCCAGAGGTTCCCTGACTGGCATTGGGTACCGGGATGAGATCCTCAGACCATTTGCTGGTCCTGTGGGTCCTGGGTTCCTTCTGATGCATGATAATGCCTGGCCACATGTGACAAGAGTGGGTCATCAGTTCCTGCATGATGAAGGTATTGATGTTTTGGACTGGCCCCCAGGTTCCCCAGACTTAAATCCAATAGAGCACATCTGGAACATCATGTCTCGGTCCATCCATCAATGCCACGTCGCACCACAGACTGTCCAGGAGCTGACTGATGCTCTAATCTAGGTCTGGGAGGAGAGCATGCCCAGGCGTTGTAGGGAGTGCATTCAGGCACGTGGAGGCCACACACACTACTGGCGATCATAAAGACTCATTTTGAGGAAGTTCTACAGAATTTGGATCAACCAGTTACCTCATTTGTCACTTTGATTTTGACTATAATTTTGGATTCAGACCTCCAGGGGCTGAGAATTTGATTTCCATTTATCATTCTTATGTTATTTGGTTCTCAACACACTATAAATAAAGATTTTCATCCAAAAAAATCGAATTGATTGACATCTAGGATGTGTTTTTTGAGTGTTCCCGAAGTTTTTGTGAGCAGTGTAGTTTTGGTATGTCTCAAAAGCATTTTTTCAGACCAACAGTGATTCATTTTTTGCGAGCGAAGTTTGAAGTAAAGGACTGAAATCATCTACAGATGTAAGAAATGTAACTTTATACTTTTAATTAGAAAGTTTAGTTTTGCTCTTTTTGTAGCATTTCATGTTCTTAACCAGAGGTGTCAAACATTTTGGTTGGAGGTACAAAGTATAAAAGTCAATTTTTTTGTGTGATTTTTCAACTATAAGCGGCTACTTTCTTCAAGTTTGTTAAACTCCGCAGTCTGTAATGCGATGCGGCCAATGTATGTCTTTTATTGTGGCAGAGAATGTCTGAGTTTGGACACCGCTCTCATCAGGTTTATGTTTATGTGAACAGTAGAGTAGACAGAAGGAGATGCATGAAATGCAAGGAACTAGGACAGATTAGGGCTGTTGTCAGAGCAGAGTTTATGGACTTCTAACTTTGACTCCTCCAGGTTTAGTAGGTAAAGAGTCGCGACATGGAAGCTAACACATGTTCAGTTAAAATAGTCGTCTGTCATCTTTTTTTTGCTCCATCAGCTGTTGATTAAGTTACATAAGTATAACATGAAAATACAGCTTATTTTCAAGTGTGGCCTGTATGTGGAGAGAATGTACTTTCTCTTACATTTTAGCTGAAGAGATGGAAGGGGACAGTTATAGTGTGTTTGTGTCTCCTGGGATTATAATCTGTGGTAAATCCATGTTGTTGCAGGTCTGCTGGTGGCCTACTGTCACAGGTTCGACATCTTAATGCAAACCTCCAGGATCTACTTTGTGGCGTGTACCATCGGTGAGTTTAGACAGAATATTTGGTCATCATGGCAGAATAACAACACTTGAATACGGCTTTAGTCCAGTGCAGGGTGGTCAAACAGATCAACTATCATATAATAATCAATCATGAAGCTCGTATATAAAGTAAATACTAATTTTAGAGAGTATCAAAGCAAATGTTATTTTTTTTTAAACGTCTAAATTGAAAAACGTTTCTAACCTTCACAGCATTATAAAACCTTGTAGAACCATTAAAATAACATTAATGTTTAGTTGTGTTAAAAATGGTATATTTTTGTGGAATAAATTTATGTAATTTAGATTATCACCATGGCATCGAAGATACTCCCTCTAACCTCTCTCTACCGCTCTCCCTCCAGCCTACGGCGTGGGGCTCCTCATCACCTTCGTGGCCCTGGCCCTCATGCAGATGGGGCAGCCCGCTCTGCTCTACCTGGTGCCTTGTACTCTGCTCACCAGCCTCACTGTGGCGCTGTGGCGCAAGGAGCTGCCACAGTTCTGGACAGGAAATGGATTTGTGGTGAATACCAGTTTGATATGACCAACTACTTCTGCTATGGAAGAACAAAAGCACAAGAGCCCAAAACACTCTTAGATTAAATAGTTGAGTAAAACCTTTATACATTTATTTATATATATATATATATTACGTTATGTTCCGTTCTAACGCCTTCTACTGTCTTGTGGGTGTTACTGCTGCTGTTGTGCAGAGCTTTCAACATGACTACAGACACACTTTCAGATCACGACATCAGAATCACATGTCCACAGACCTGACTGGGTGTAAAATACAAATAATGTATTATACTGTTAGAGGACTGACTGTAGCGGTCTGTGGTTACCAAGACGACTTTGTGTCCAGAGAAAAGATAATACGTCAACATACTAATATTCACTTATCTCTTAGTCTGGAATTCAGAATGTTGAGATACATGGTAGTTTACATGTAGAGATACATGAGTTTACAATAACAATGATTATTGAGACTATGATTATTTATAAATGATGATGATAATAATAAAAGTTCATGATGATAACTCCATAATTATTCAGTTTTATCTTTTGCTGGACAGCCAAATCCGCTTCTCTGAGCCCTGTCCCACTTAGCTGCTGGTTTGCACTGAATATGGGCGCTGAAGGAACATGGACATAAACCTGAGCTCTTTGTGGAGGTCGTGGTTTTGTTCTTTCTAAGCGACTTTGGAGATTGTTGTGGTTTTATCACTTCTTTTTAGAGAAATATAGCACAAAAACACATGAAACACTGGACAGGAACATCAAAGTTAAAACATATCAACTATATTTCAAGTTCAGGAAAGTAAGAAGCATAAACATCCGAACAGAGTCTGGAGTTGATCACACTGTGAGACGAGGGACTGAGACTTGAGCTGCAGAAACTGTACTTTCAGACCAGGAACGCTGTACTCTCACAGTCTTTGTAGGAATTGTGATTGTTGACTGTAAATTGCACATCTCTATAAAGTCTTTTTGTCCCTTGCAGCCCGCCATAGCACTGGCCCCCATTACCTGCACTCAGACCGCAGTGGCCGCAGCAGCAGAGACCGAGGCTTCCACCAGTCCTCACGAGAACACTCACGCGGACCACCCCTCACCCACACAGGAGGACCCCGCGAACACCACAGAGCAGCTGCCAGAGAACCAGAGCAAATCCAACTAAAGAACACTAGTCCCACTGATGTCAGTCTGATCCAAGCAGCAGCAACGGACACTTCTCATTGGTGCAAAGGGAAGACTGAAAGGTTTTTAATTTTTATTACTGCTGCTGATGTGTTTAAGCTTAAAGATGTTCAGTCATTTCAGTGTGTGTCCTTGTTCTCCCCACACTACAGTGTTACGTGACAAAGCAGTTCATTCTCTTCCAAAACATTTCACTTAACTCAACATGAGCATCTGCCGTCTGGAGCCACCGAATTTTATTATTCATATTGTCAGTAATAACTGGGAGGTAACCAAAGTGTGTAAGGGGTGTTTCATATTTTACAAATGATATGTGCGATAAGCAGTTATGAAAAGATGAATTATGATCGGTTGTGTTTTCATTAGATAGAATATTGGACCAAAACATCAGGTTTTTCCCCAAGTTGAGTCCAGGTGTCTCTGATAAAAGAATAAGTCATTTCTGTTTGGTTTTCTCAAGAATAACAGACAAATGGTCCTGAAATTACACATTTTGTAAAGCAAGCCACAAATATCCATACGTTTTCTTCCGCTCTATCCGTGGCCCGGACACAGGGGCAGCAGTCTAAGCAGAGACACCCAGACTTCCCTCTGCGGCGTTCCCAGGCCAGCTGAGAGACCTCGTCCCTCCAGTGTGTCCTGGGTCTTCCTCATGGCCTCTAGAACACCTCCAGAGCCAGAATATCTGAACAAATAGTTCAGCTGAGAAAAAAAAGAGCAAAAGTTATTTATTCTTCAAAATTGACCTTGTTTTTTTGTTTTAATAGAAATCACACTCCACCTCTATTTTGCCCGTTCATTTGCCTTGGATCTTACGTCTGCACGACAACGTTTTCACACTGAGGCGAAATACATTAAGAACATAGTTACTTTATTTGTGCATGGTTTGGACTTGGCCTGTTTTGTCATTAAACTCCTAAATCTAAGTGGAGAAATATGGGCCCTGTAAACTTTTGGTTCTGATTGCGAAGAGTTTATACTGGAGTCGCTGCATTTGGATTCTAACAAGACAAAATGTATTTATATTTTTAAGAAATTCTGAATTCAAGTCCAGGTCAGAAAATCTTTTGCTTAAGAAAAAGCTAGACCCTGATCCTAGTGTTCATTGCCGACTACAAATACAGCAAACAAGGCTTTTAATGTTGCGTTAAAAATAAATGTTAAGCAAATGTTACGTATATTTTTCTGTTCTGTCAAACTTTATACATGCGCAGTAGGAGCTCACTATTCTCTCATCTGAAACCCTGCTTTAGCGCAGGGCATGGATCACAGTGTCTTAAGTTAAATTGGGCCTTAACAGAATCTAACAGGAGCTGAATGTTGAGCTGTCTTTCTATTTGCTGCATTTGTGTCACAACTGTTTTGTTTATGATGAAGTCTGATGTTTGTGGAGCGACCGATGAAACCAATGTTAGACTAGTGTGGAACATTTTGCACAATATTTTTTCAAAAGGACTATTTTAAACTGAGTCCCTTGGTGTAAGACGTTTCTGTGCAGTATTTTGGTGGAACACAACGAGCCGTGGAGATTAAGTGGTTAATGTTAATTTTTGTTTGTCACCAAGTGTTTTAAACGCTTCTGTTACAGAAGTTTATGAAATATTAAAATAAAGGAACATTGTATTTAAGATTTGAGTATTTCTGCATCCATTTCTAACCCTGTGAACTATAAAGAGTACATCAGTCAGTTAAGTCAATCACACTTTCGCTGCCAGAATCATCCAGTTTATGACACAGGTAGTTAACTCTTAAGCACAGATTACTGATGCAATCCACCTGCTGGGGTTCAATAGAAACTAAAACATGACACTAATTTTTGTACCTGCTTTCATACATTTTTTTCATAATTATTACATTAAACTTCACCTAACAAATTGACAACCCAAATGTCAATTGGCTTCAAACCCATTGTATTTTTAATACAAAAATGCCTCCATTTGACAAAAGGACCAATATTATGTAATTTAAAATAAAATGACATACCCCTATAAAAACTCTTGTTAATTTATAGCTTAAACACGTTAGCTTAAACAATTTCTCGAAGAGCAATTATGAAATGTTTTCTATCTGAGGGGTCTTGTCTAATCCATGATTGAACCCTAACCAATAAATGACGGTATCCTGAGAATAAAATCACATTAAACAAACCAGTTGTGTAGAAAGCAGGGTCCATAGATACAACTGCAATCCTTTAAACACAGTTGTAACGTTTGCTTCAACACAAGAACATATTAAATGTACTTTCAAGTCAAATGAGAGCTCTGAAAGTTTCCAGTGTTTAATGTGCAGATGCATCAAGCACAAGGCGGCAGTAAGAACCTTTAACACACAGGGCTCAATTAAAACATAACTAAAAATATCTAGATTTTAAATACATGTTTAAAACCCATTAGCAGCACCACTCTCCATTAGTTATCACATGATGAATATCACAATCTTTACAGCAGCACCAAGCTCAGGCTCCACCACTTGTTTTGAATAAAAAAAACAAAAACATTTCTAACCATCTGCCATGAGAGTTATGTTATCAATAAATTTACATTTTTTTTTTTTTAAACAGTGAAACTATTAATGTGTCAGTGAATGGGAGTCAAAAGTACCAGCAGCAAAACAAGGGTCCCTTAAAAGAGCTTTAAAATAAAAGTAAAAGTCCAAATGAAATCACATATTTTTACATGATCTTTTTACATCTATAATAAAAACTAAAATGTTTCAGACAGACTAAAACGATGGTCCACAAAATATCCTTCTAAAAAGCCAAAAGACAAATCTTTTCAGTTCATAATATTTGCCTCCATCGTTCCCATGTTTTTGGAGCTACCTCTGGTCCATAAGGTGCAAATGTGGAAGAATCCGTGGCTGTGGTCGAAGGCGATCAGAGGAAGATCTCCTTGGGGAGCAGAGGGTCCAGGTCTTTGGGGAAGGGGGGAGGAGCAGGGGGCGGAGCTTCTCTCTCGCGGGTGTGAGACGCGAAGGACGGAGACGGCTTTATGTTCTGGGAGGGTCCGGGCGGAGTGAACAGGTCTGAGGACAGAAAAGACGGTTACTATGGACACGAATGGTTCTAGAAACACACCCTCACTACAGCGCTTGTGATTCGCAGCAAGAAGGTCCTGGGTTTGATTCCTGGGCCAAGCTCTTCATCACTGGAGTTTGCATGTTCTCTTCGTTTTCCCCAGGTGCACATAGAATCTAGTTGTAGAATATAGGCCAAACTAAAAATATGTTAAGAAATGTAATATTTGCATTAACCCAAACCCATAACTCATTGAACACACTGTTTGCTCAGGTTGATTTGAACTGATATGCAGTATATACATTTATTCATAACAGAAATGAAAGAGGTAATCCGTTTAAGCTGTCCTCAAGTCTGATGAAGGTCAGTGGGACCCAAACATGTTCAAATCAGACGAGAGAGAGATCAGGATGTGCAGGAGCTTTTTTTTTTTACATACAGTTTTAAAAAAGGCAGAAAATCACTCTGAACGCCAGGGTAAGGATTCACCGCAGTTTGAGATAGGAGTGTTTAGACAGAAGGGACGGAGCGATGGGTTTGTGCCTGAAGATCCTGATGCTAACGTGGATGGAACTAAAGGAAACATATAATGAGGGAAACAGTTTTGACTAGAGACCATTTGGGAAACATGTCTACTTTAACACGTGTAGATACATGATGAGACGCACTGGGGCATTTAGTGCATAGTCTAAATAGTGGAAAGATGCACTTTTGACAACAATATATCCTGTGAACCCCAGGAAGACGCGCGACCTCTTGTGGAAGCTAATGGGCATCCAAATAAATGAATACATACATCTAATAAATTAAGTTTTTTTTTTTTGAATCTGTTCATGTTGTTGGGTCTTGCTTATATTGCAAACCCAATCAAAAGCAGACGTGGGGTTGAGCTGGACTGGACTGGACAGGACAGTACCGGTCTTGTAGATCCGTTGGGGGCTGGACGTCCTGTGCGCCCTCAGACTTCCTCCCTCTTTCCCGGACGCTCGGATTGGCACCAACTCCCGCACGTCTATGTTTGCTGCAGCGAGAGAAAGACATTTTTTGTTCACCGATTTATACAAGAGAAACTAAACAAATCCACATAATAATTTCTGCATTGTCTTAAATGTGATGTAGATGAGTAAGCAACAAACTACATTTTACTCCTTTGTATTTACTGATGTCTTCTGACGGCATCTTCACACACAAGATGACGGTTGAAAACGAGCTTTGGAGGCAAAATTGGCATTGTTTTTTTGAGTTGAGAAAATAAATATCTAACAAGTAAACTAGACCTTTTATAGATGGAGGTTCGAGAGTTCCCTAAAGCCGCTGCGATCCTATGACCCTCGCTGTTGAATTTGAGGAAGAGGAGGAGGAACACAGCGACCCTGCGACTCAATGTCTGCCATATTTAAAAGCATGTACACATGATGCATGCACCTTCCCGAAGTTACCATAGCAACGTCAAACATCACAGCTCTCTGTTGTCCAAAATGCGCACACTTTACATATTGGTAATACAATCTGGGGTACCCAACTTTCAAACCACAAAAAAAGAAATGCTGCTGCAGCTGATTTGCTAACTGGATCAAATCCAGCTAGCAAATCAGAAACAGTTTGATTCTATGCCTAATGTTCACATGCATGTATATTTGGCCTCTTTCAGAAAAAGATGATGCAAAGATGTGTCAGAGAAGTGAAATTACACAAGCCTGACTCTCGCCAAACCCTTGTAGTTCCGCCATGCTCCACCAGAGGACGCCAATGCAAACTGACACGGAGGTCACTTAATGCAATATGAGACGAGAGGTTGATGGTTCCACGTTGTTATCTTACAGTATGTTATGTGTGTTTTAAGAGTTAAATGGTTGTGTAAAGTTTGGTTTAAGTACTAGTTTAAAAGTGTTCATCACAACACTACGCACCAGGGTTGCCAGGTTGGGTGGTTTTCCGCATACTTTTTTCCAAGCGACGTGTAGATAATAAATAAAAGACACAAAACAAAATCATCTAAAAATCACGTTTTTAGCCAAAAAATCCTTTTGGGTGTTTTTTTGGGGCCTTTGGCAACTCATGGGAGTCGTGTGCTGAATCGTGTGCTTTGATGTGAGTGATTGAAGGAACATGTCATTCAAGATAACAGACAAGTGGTTTATCCCAATAAATACTCCGCTGCAGGAAACAGTTCGCGTCTCCTCTCTCCTCTCGAAGCGCGACTAAACTCCCTAAATTAAAGCTTGGGTACCTACATTTTCCATTGCATTAAAAGTTCATGTTGGTCCCAAAGGAAAAATGTTGAGAACAAATCACAGATTTAGAGCCAGCCAGTGGCAAAAAATTATTCATTTCAGACTTTTTTGCCCAATTCTCATCCCTGTGATAGAAAATAGTGTTGTCTGTGTCCATGTTTATTACTCTTTTGTAATGTAGACTAATGCACTTTATTTTATTGTTGAAACTGCATACATCCTGATTCTAGTCTACAGTATTTGCTTCCACATATTGTATAAAGAAACTAAAAAAAAACCCACTTCTGGGCCGTCAAGAAGGCAAGAAGACAGTTTTTTGGTCCCAGTCCAGCCCTGTACAAGGCTCTGGATAGAGTCAGGCAGAGGACCACCCTCACTCAGTTCATCAGTTCTTAGCTCTAAACATCAAATCCCAGGGCTTTTTCTGAAAAGTATGCAAAATAAAACTTACATTTTACTTCCCTAAGAGTCTTTCTCTTAGTCAAACAACAAGGATTTAGTAACAAAAGTTAGGTACCCCAGCTTTAATTTGGAGTCAGACTGAACCAGCTGTCAGCTAACCCTAACCCTTCCTAAACAACACTTTTGTTCAGGAAGTTTTTCAGAACAGTACCTGCACTGTTGGTTCTCTTGTGCGAGGGTTTGGTCTTGGGCTTCTTGCTGCTGACCTCCAGTTTGGTGGGAATGACCTGCTCGATAGTGCCCCCTGGCCGGAGGACAGGGCTGGCATTGTTGGTGGTGCTGCGCAGTTGGATGGGCACATAGGGCTTGGAGGGTTTGGGGCTGATGCTCTCTCCTCGGGGGGGAACTTTTGGAGGAAACTCTTTGGGCTCCGCCTTTGATAGTTTAACATACGGCGCCGCAGTGATGTTTCCCACAGAGCTGGCCGTGCTCCTGAAGGACGAGTAACTAAGCAGACTCTGGAAGAGACGCAGATGGACGATGTCAAGCGGGGCATGACAAGTTTAGAGAGGACCTGACATGCAACATGGACTCTTGACCATGCTATAGCTATGCAGTAAATTATATAAAGTACTTATATATACTTTATTTATATATTTTTTATTAGTAATTTGTGTTTATTTTGTATCCTGTTTGTTATATTCTCCTTTATGGGAGACCACCTAGGCGCCTAGGGACCTAGCTTTTGAAAACCAAGCCTTTTTTCTGAAAGATAAATCATCATACAAAAAAATCATTGTTTATTGGAAATTTAATTTTACTGTTTAAATATATTTTGAAATAGACAAAAGGTGACACCATGTATCAGAATAGGAGATAGTGGACTATCTTTAATTAATAACATAAAAAATAGAAGAAAATGATGCAAGAAAAATGTAGGGAGTTCTTGAAAGGACAGTTGAGGTATAAATAGTGTTTGGGTTCTTACTTTGGGGTCGTCCACGTTGAGGGAGGGGTTGGCCAAACTCATGTGTCTCTTCAGCTTCTCCACCTTCTTCTTCTCCTGCTCGTGCCGGTCGCGATCCCTCTCCAGACTCTTGAGGCTCTCGCGCAGTCGCTCCAGGTCTTGTTGGTAATGGTCCCTGTGCGTCTCCAGCTCCGTGCGCTCCTCCTTCAGCCGCTCCTCCCTGCGTCTACACTCATCCTCCTTCTTCTGCACCTCCTCCTGCAGCACCTCCAGCTGAACCATCTGCCTCTCACGCTCCCTCTCCCAGCGCTGTTGCTCCTCCCGCTGCTGCTCCTGCATCTTGTGCAGGTTGGACAGCTCCTGTTTCTGCCGCTCCAGGTTGCGCTGGTTCTCCTGCTCCAACAGAGCGCTTCCTCGAGCTGAACGTTTGCTCTTGGACTGAGAGGCGCGCAGCAACTCCACCTCGCTGCTGTGCCGCAAAAACACTACCTGCAAACACACAGGTACTTACTCCAAGGGACGCCTTTTTATACCCAGTACCAGGATTATTGTTTTTGAGGCCTCAACTAGGGCAGTTAACTAATTTGATCATCGATTAGTTTGTCGAGTATTCTTTCCATCAATCAATTAGATGTTTAGATCCTGAAAAGTCAGAAAGTATGGGATTTTTTATATTATTATTATTATTACTATCTTTATTTATCAGACTCGAAGTCCATAAAAAACAAACAAACACATCACAAACACAACAGACAAACAGTTATAAAAGAAAACTGTACCAGAGCTTCCACAGAGCTGACTGGTAGCGCACAGAACTCATACTGGGGTTCACCAGAGACCGCACAAAATAGTTCTCACTGACATTCAGACGGCATATAAACCTGTACATCATATTTCGCATGAGAGCATGGAAAGAGTTCACACGACTCTGACAGAACAGCAGACTAGCACTACTGGACCTGGGCTTTTTCAGCAGAATCCTGAAAGCATCATTATATGGAACTTTGAGCTTCTGTAGTGCAGCCTTCTTATATCTGCTCTACAGTGGAGCTGTATACAGAGGTGAACAGTACATTTTAAACAGTTTAATTTTAACATCGACTGTGCACATGTGAAATTTCCGCACTAAGGTGTTGGCTTGAGCGTACAGTTTACGACACTGGCGATTAATGTCATCATCATCACAGAGTCGGTCAGTTATGATGTGACCCAAGTATTTAATTTTGCTGCAAACACCCAGCTTTTGACCAGATAAGTAAAAGTCTGGAAAACAAAGATGTTTGTCCCCTTTGGTGCGGCTGATTAGTACAGCGCTCTTTTTGGCATTATATTGAATATCATGCTTGACCCCATAATCAGAGCATACATTCAAAAGCTGCTGAAAGCCAGCACTACTCGGGGAAAGAATGGCCAAATCATCGGCGTACATGAAATGGTTGACCAGTGTGTCACCGATCATGCAACCAGTTCTACAGCCATTCAAACACTGGGACAGGTCATCCATGTACAGGTTAAATAGGAGCAACAGCCCGCCCTGACGCACTCCGTTACTGACGCCAAAGGCAGCTGAGATGGTATTACCCCACTTCACCTGCATCTGCCGATTAGAATACCAGGAGGTCAATATTCTTATTATGCTATCAGGCACATTCCTCTCTTTGAGTTTTCCAAAAAGCCTACAGTGGTTCACGCAATCAAATGCCTTGGATGCGTCAATGAACCCTAATAACACAGAAGAGTTTTGTCTTAAATATGACTGTGCAGTCTCCTTAAGACAGGGGTTAAAGCAAAAAAAAAAGATTTGACTGAAAATTTTCGCATGGAAATTTATCACATGTAAATCACAGTAATATGCAGGACCAAGTTATATTTTTTATTACAATATATTATTGTATAATAGATTGTATATTGAATACAGCTCAAATGAATTCTTCAAAGATATACAGTGTATTTTGATATGAAATATAAGTGGATCAAGCAACGAGTAAACTTTTTGACAGAATATTAGTGAGAGTAGCTTTACTTGAGGCGATATGGAGCGTCAACACTTTGGCTCTGTCCTCGTCAAAATATTGCAAAAGGACGATAAAATTCTGTCCACATTTGTTTGTGGACACGTCAATATTTAAGAAAAAGGTTTCCCTATCAAGTTTGAGTGCACAGTGCACTTCGATCAACTGCAAATGATTTAAATAAATCTACCAGCGGTAGTGATATTCTGAACGTTATTTTCTGCGATAAAGCCACAGACACGGTCCGCCAGAGCAAGCCTAGTGTCAGTTGTTGCTGATGCACCAGGTAAAGATGAAGTGTGGGAAAGTGCACAAACAGCTGCCTTGTGCGCAGTTTTGAGCTGGTGGCGAATCAAAACTTTTTTCTCATTACTCCCATACATGCAATTTTTTATGGCAAAGTACGCACAAGCACCGGCCACTTTCATCTTTTCGCACCATGACTCATTGATTGGCTCTTTTACATCACGCTGAGTTTTGCAAGAAGATCGCAAACAAGACAATATCAAAAGCTCACCAAGACATGTTTGTCCCCATTCCCAGTTGCAGCAAAGTCCGTTTTGTACATTCCGTTAAGTAAAATAGCATTGCGTTTGGTAAACGTTAATTACCTTTCCTCTATTACGCGCCCAGCTTACCAGTCCGCGGATCTGCTGCTGTTATTCAATTTTCCTCCTCTTCTCCTTTTCAAAAGCTCCGTGCAGTTTCCAGAAACTTTCACCTCCGTGTTACCAATGCTAACTTCATCGCGTCTTCATTTGCGCGTGAGCTCAGCTACGTCCCATTGCCTTGATTCATTTGCGGAGCGCTCATGTGGCCACGGCACGTTCAAGGCCCACTCGTGATTATATTACGTATTATTGATTGACTGCGGAACCTTCCGCAGTCAACCATTGGTTTTGTATTTCTTTATTCCGTCATTTTTTTTGACACGTTTCACAGCTTTCACATTTTCAACAATTTCCACAAGTTATACATCAAAACGTTCCACATGTTTGGGAGATTATTGCTATTACTTTTGGGACTTCAGCGATTTCCGGTTTTTCCGCAATCGGACAAAAATCTGCATTGAGAATTCTGCAATGCATTTTAATAGGCCCATGCATTTTAATAGGACTTCAGCTCTTTCAGACATTTCTACAGTTTCAATGATTCAACAGTTTCAAGGATTCAACAGTTTCAAGGATTTCAGCAGTTTCAAGATTTCAAGAGTTTCAAGGACTTCAACAGTTTCAAGGACTTCAACAGTTTCAAGGACTTCAGCAGTTTCAAGGACTTCAGCAGTTTCAAGGACTTCAGCAGTTTCAAGGACTTCAGTGTAATCATGCAACCTAATAGGGATTTTTCCATGTAAACCAGTATAATGCAACTTAATAGGGATTTTTCCATGTAAACCAGTATAATGCAACTTAATAGGGATTTTTCCATGTAAACCAGTATAATGCAACTTAATAGGGTTTTTTCATGTAAACCAGTATAATGCAACTTAATAGGGTTTTTCATTCATGTAAACCAGTATAATGCAACTTAATGGGGATTTTTCCATGTAAACCAGTATAATGCAACTTAATAGGGGTTTTTACATGTAAACCAGTATAATGCAACTTAATAGGGTTTTTTCCATGTAAACCAGTATAATGCAACTTAATAGGGTTTTTTCCATGTAAACCAGTACAATGCAACTTAATAGGGATTTTTCCATGTAAACCAGTATAATGCAACTTAATGGGGATTTTTCCATGTAAACCAGTATAATGCAACTTAATGGGGATTTTTCCATGTAAACCAGTATTATGCAACTTAATAGGGGATTTTTCCATGTAAACCAGTATAATGCAACTTAATAGGGATTTTTCCATGTAAACCAGTATAATGCAACTTAATGGGGATTTTTCCATGTAAACCAGTATTATGCAACTTAATAGGGATTTTTCCATGTAAACCAGTATAATGCAACTTAATAGGGTTTTTTTCATGTAAACCAGTATAATGCAACTTAATAGGGTTTTTACATGTAAACCAGTATAATGGAACTTAATAGGGGTTTTTACATGTAAACCAGTATAATGGAACTTAATAGGGGTTTTTACATGTAAACCAGTATAATGCAACTTAATAAGGATTTTTACATGTAAACCACTATAATGTAACCTAATAGGGGTTTTTACATGTAAACCAGTATAAAGCAACTTAATAGGGATTTGTACATGTAAACCAGTATAATGCAACCTAATAGGGATTTTTCCATGTAAACCAGTATAATGCAACTTAATAGGGATTTTTCCATGTAAACCAGTATAATGCAACTTAATAGGGATTTTTCCATGTAAACCAGTATAATGCAACTTAATAGGGTTTTTTCATGTAAACCAGTATAATGCAACTTAATAGGGTTTTTCATGTAAACCAGTATAATGCAACTTAATAGGGGTTTTTTCCATGTAAACCAGTATAATGCAACTTAATAGGGGTTTTTTACATGTAAACCAGTATAATGCAACTTAATAGGGTTTTTCCATGTAAACCAGTATAATGCAACTTAATAGGGTTTTTTTCATGTTAACCAGTATAATGCAACTTAATAGGGTTTTTTTCATGTAAACCAGTATAATGCAACTTAATAGGGTTTTTTCATGTATAATGCAACCTAATAGGTTGCATTATACCACCAGACCAAGACCCAAACGAAGACTCAGACCACCACCAGATAATGACCACAGACCAGGTTTCCTTAGTTACAGGAACCAAATTGTTTCAGCGGTGAGGGGATTTTTCAGTTTCAAGGACACTTTCAATACATTCAGTAGTTTCAAGGATTTCAGCTGTTTAAGAATTTAACCAGTTTCAAGGATATCAGGAGGTTCAAGGATTTCAGGAGTTTCCACACTTTCAACAGTTTCCAGGTTTAAAAAAGTTTCAAGGATTTCAGGAGTTTCAATGTTTCAACAGTTTCAAGGATTTCAGGAGTTTAAAGGTTTCAACAATTTCAAGGACTTCAGGAGTTTCAAATATCTATCAAGTATTTTAACAGTTTCAAGGCTTTTTAAAGGATTTCAAGGATTTTTTTTAGCAGATTTCCACATTAGATCTGTTCCGCAGTCAATCGCAATGGCTTCAGCCATTGCAAGTTTCTAGTTTCTATATACATATAAATACAATTATATTCAAATTATTATTATACATCGATATATATAACAGATTCACAAGTATATGTATTACTATATATTATTTTTATAATCAATCATTTCATTGTGTGTATTATTATCATTATATATATATATATATATATTTTCCCAGACCAATTTCATTTGACGGAAATCCGTCACCTAGACGGAACTCTTTGATCCCTGCCTTAAGACTAAAAATGCATAGATCTGTCCCCAACTTGAATTTAAATCCAAATTGGTTGTCTGTTGTTCTTATGCAGTGACTCAAGCGACCCATCAGTATCTTCTCAAGGACTTTAGATATCACACTAGCTAAAGCTATCGGCCTGTAGTTATCCAAACTCCCAACTTTGCCAGCCTTATCCTTAATGACAGGCACTAGAGTGACAGACAGTAACGAGTCAGGAAGAAGCCCATGGGTCATGAACCCGGTGAAGCATAATGCCAGCAGTACAGCAACTCTTGGACTGGCATATTTCAGGTGTTCTGCTGTGATTTTGTCAAGGCCAGTAGCCTTGTTGTCAGACAGTTGAGCAATTGTTTCCTGGACTTCTCGTGGTGTAATAGTCACTACATCCCGATCATCCAGATTACCCACTTTATAGGGATCACTTTGCACACAATTGAAAAGTGCAGAGTAGTGCTGTCTCCATAGTTCAGCTATGCCTTCATCCCCAGACACTCCCTCTACAGCACTGGGCAGTTGCGTGTTAACTCTGTTTAGAGCTCGGACTTCATTCCAAAAACCAGCAACGTTGTTGGAAAGTAATTTTTCAGCCATAGAGTCTGCTCTCATGTTCTGTTCACATTTTGTTACATGGCGAATGGCATATTTATACCGTGCGTTGGTTAACCTTTTATACTCCAGGGCAGGCCCTGCTCTGGGTTTGCCAGATTGTGCCCATGCCTTATGTGCTTTTTCGGCCTCTGCATGATGGACTGCAACATATTTGTTCCAGCCTGGCTTAATGTTTCCCCTTTTCACACCTGTAAGGTAGGGACCACTGCTCTTGTAAACAGCATCAACAATACATTCATACGTACATCACACAAAGGTCTTTACAGTGGGAAGTATCCTTACAGTTAACATCTGTGCACATTGCAGCATGATTAGGGAAATGTATATTGCTTAGAGCAGCGTCAGTTCTCAACCAATGTCCTGATATCATACATTTGACCAAAACAAAACTCAAGTGATGATCCTGATAAACCTCCTCTGAGAGATGACATTGACATATTGGGTCATTAGACTGCTTTTTGAGTCACAAAAACTCTTCTCAGCGTAACCCCAAGTTTTTGGAAGGTTCAACAAATGAATAGTGGAGTTTTGAAATAGATGTCACCTAGTTTAGTCATGGATTACTCACAAATAAGCACTTGATACAGTTACAGCCTCAACCATTTGAGGTGATTATTTTTTAACTGGATCGCTCACAAAGCAGCGAAGATGCTAAAAGTGCTTAAAACAAAAACCTGACATTTATTACAGAAAATACAGATTTCTTTAAAAAAAACCTGTTCTGTAGTTGTGGTCCTTAACTGTGATGTAAACTACTTGTATTTAATTTGTCAAAAAATGCATTTGTTTGACCATGTCCAGTAAATATTAAACAAATATTTATAACAGTCCCTTTCAAGGGTACTCAAGGATTTGAATGAATTTTGACCAATCAGGAAGCTGCAGGGGGTGACTGGGCAGGTCTACCCAGTCCCCGTCTTCAAAATGTTTCAGTCCATCTTCACAATCTGAAAAGTAACTGACATCCAGTTTATGCGAGAGCCATTGTAGATTATTATAGAACTCTTTTCAGACTCAGGGCCAGTCATTTATGCGTTTCTAAAATCACACCTCTATAAACATGCCAGAGGAAAAGTTAAAGCTCAATTACCTGTAAACTGTTCAGTCTTTGAGCCAGAAGCACAGTCCTCTCATAGACCTAGCAGACAAAATGCACAAACCACATATTACCTTGACACGCTGACAACTGACTTTACAGAACTCACTCATTCAGCTCCTGAATAAGAAGCATCGATTGTTCGCTCACCAAGTGTGTGTCTTCTTCTGGCAAAGGTTCTTTAGTGATCGAGCTCTGTGGCACTCCTGTATCATCCCCATCAGCCTGAAAGTAAAAACAAGATGTACAACAAATGAATACATGAATATTACATATATTGTACAATTATTAATACTATACAATCATGTTCTTACTCACCGACAGTTCAAGACCTTCGGAGTAGACGGTTTCCTCAAATGGAAGGTCTGTCGGGGGCTCAGGGTCATAGACAACATCTCCATCTAAATACAGAAAAGACAAATATGAAGTTACAAGACAAAGCCTATATGTACATCTTTTTTTACTTGTTATTGATCATATATGGTGCAAATTACACTTATCTACAAAACAGAATTCTGACAATGTCAGCACAGTTAGTAGCATAATGTCAAAGATGATTTTGTTGTTCAAATAAATACACAATAATGAAATCAACAAAAAAGTCTGAACTAAAGACCATTTATCTGTAAATACGTTTTTTTTTTATTTGCAGTTGAGCTGTTATTTGTTCAATCTGATATAAGTCCCTTAACCTGCTTTTCCACTGGTGGGGGTCTGTGGAGACTTATCATTTTCTTCAGAAGCAGCCATTTCAGCAATAAAAAATAAATAAATAAATAATAATAATAATAATAATAATAATAATAATATAATAATAAAATAATATATATATGATTTTGGATGCCCAGACAGTTTTTAATTTCACTTTCTTTCCAAAAAAGTCCCAGAATATATGTGTATGGCCTCCGACAAGACCACAGTCTCTATGGATACATCTTTAGCCCCATTTCCACCAATCCTACTTAGCCCTTCACTCCACTCTACTAGGCTATACTCTTCCCTGTTTAAATGGTACCAGATACTTTTAGTACCTGCTTGGTCTTGGTTCCATCCAGGTCAAGCTGATATTAAAGTGTTCTAGCTGACAATGATTGACCAGAGTGCAGCTGGAAGCCATGGTTGTCAAGGAATTGAATACGGTTAAGATACGGTACTAAAATAAAATGTAATGGAAACACAGTAGAGTAGGGCCAAGTAGGGCTGGTGGAAACAGGGCTTCAGACTAAAATAAACAGCAGAGTGAAATGTCTAAATAATTGTTATCAGATCTGTATAATGTAAATAAAGAAAGGAAAATTGTTGCCAGAACTTTTTCTTACTTGAATTGGGAGTGCAGTCGTCGTTGATGTCGCCAAAAGAGTCCAATTTTTCACTTTGCTTCTGATTGATCTTCATCATGAGCAGGTTCTGCAGACTCTCCACTGAAAGACACCAACATGTTTCAGAATGCAGTGGTTCCAAACTTAAAGTAGCAATATATGCAAGATTTTCATGTCAAGTCATCATTAAATGGCCCTAATGTGTCAAAACCAGTGGGGGCGGGTCCCAGCTTAAAAGTGGCCAAAATGACGTTCGCTGACATGCTTGCAATACCACCCCCTGCCGATGAGGGTGGACGCGGAATAAGAATTAGCCAATGCTAACATATAGCATTAGGTGACCTCTCAAAAACGTCTTTACAAAATACGTTCCAAAAGGAGGCTCTTGGCCCAAAGCTCATTGAGCGGCCCAAAAAATTCACTCCCCTCCACATGTGTGTCAGGGGGACACACATGTGGAGGGGAGTGAATTTTTTTGGACCAGTCTAGATTAACCGCGGTGAATTTTTGAAGGCACTTGTTTAAATGAATGGGGCTCCTGCCGGCTGACACATGTGCAGATGCGTATTTTCACTTTCTCCAGCCTCCGCGGCCATTTTGAATCACTCCATGAAAGCCCAATTTTTGGCCCATTAGTTAGAACGGCGGAGATAGGCGTGACTATGTCCGTTAATATATACAGTCTATAGTCAAAAGGCATTAATACAACTGACAGTGGCTCAGTTGGTAGAGCAGTGGCCTTTGAGCCTGAAGGTCGTGGGTCCGAGCCCACCATAACACCTACTTCACGACTCCCACTGATGACTGCTGTTGTTGTGTCCTTGGGCAAGACACTTAACCCCACTTTGCCTGAAGCCCCCGCTGTAAGATCTCAGCTCCTGTGGACTCACCACCTGCAGGAGGATCAGTGAGGGGCTGGTGCTAAGTGTACTGGGTGCAGCTCTGACTGCCACCCCCCCCGACCCAGAAATGGATTAAGGGGAAGAAAATGGATGGATGGATGGCATTAATAAACCATGCTTTTTTTTTGCATCTTTAACTGATGACAGTAGTTCAGCCAATATATTTGAATTTCAAAATCATTTTTACAGCCCCTAAATCTTATTGTTTTAATTTCAATGTCCCGTCCTCCATCGTTTTACCAATCAGAAAGTCTATGATCCGGGTTGCCAGAACTCACAGCATTGAGCTAATTTCACTGGTAAAGTACAGTAATGTGTCCGCAGTTAAAAAAGGTCTTGTTATGATTCTCAAATCATTAATAACAAAACAAAGAATAAAACAAGGATTTCTATCGAAGCCTTTGTGAATTTGTGGATTTTTCTGCATATCTGAAAACTGGAGTCAGGGAGAGTGGGAGAGGTTGCAGTACCACTTTTGTCCAGATTTTTAGGATTTAAGAACTTGAATGAATCTTTATTTGGATAATGTAAAACACAAAGAAAAAAAAAACAAGAGTAAGTGTCATTAAGTAAGAACATTTCAAAAGAACTGAAATGACAGGAGTAAAAAAAAGAAAAGAAATGAACAGCGTGGAGCAGTGACAGAAGAATCCACCACAAATTACAATATACTGGTACATAAATACACTGCATCAACAAACTTGCAAAAAAAAAAAAAAAAAAAATAGCGCTTCAAAACGTTTTAAGAGTTCCATTGTTCCTCTGGGTATAAGACTGTACAATATATGCCTCATGCTGCGAATGTACAGATGTAAACATACTGCTGCTAATGTACAGATGTAAACATACTGCTGCTAATGTACAGATGTAAACATACTGCTGCTGATCTAGAGTTAGAGATTTTGTTTTATTTGAATTAAGATAAGATATGCTTTATTTATCTCACAAGGAGAAATGTACATGTCACGTTTGGTATGGATAGAACACTCAGATTGTGCAAAAGGAGGAAATGTGTAAACATGTTACATGCAGGATATATATGTACAATAAAAGTAGCAATTTAAAGTGGCAATCAGATATAGTGTCAATAGTAGTGCAGGTTTTTTTTTTTTCAGTCTTATACAGTGACTTATTGTACAGTCTGACAGCGGTGGGGATAAAGGCCCTGCAGTAGCGCTCCTTCCTACACTGAGGGTGCCTCAGTCTTCCACTGAAGGAGCTCCTCAGCTCCTCTACAGTCCTGTGCAGTGGGTGGGAGGTATTAGTATAGCTTTTGCTCACTTGTTGTGTGCTGTGTGCTCCTCATTACTACTGTTCTATAACTTGTGATGCAACACTGAAATTTCCCCGCTGTGGGACGAATAAAGGATGTCCTAATCTCTTAACTCATTGATTGCCAGCCTCGTTTCAACAGCTTGGGTCTAGAATGCCAGGAATTATGTCAATTTTTCCTGATATTTGCAAAGCCACAGCGTATTCTGTGTTACTGTCATAAACACATGCTAAAACGCGTCTGAAAGGTGAGGCTTTGAACTTTCAGGTGGTGAAAACCTTCAGTTTCTTCCAGCTTTTGCCCCCGAGATATCCTAAGCAAAAGATTGGAAACCTTCATGAAAATTGCTGTGAATTTCCTAGAAAGCGAGATAGAGACCCTTTTATGATATATGATTTTTTGAGGGTTTTGTTGTTCTGACACATACATTTCTGGGTCTACGGACATTAATAAGATAGATATATCTTATAGGCGTGGGGTAGGCTACAAAAAACGTATTTAAAAAGGAATAATTCAATCTATTAATATTTATACCTCCTTTACAATGAACACTGGAGATGAAATTTGATCCATATGAAGATTTATGGCAACAGCAATAACAACAATACGAATGTACAATTAGAATACAAATGTTTATGTGTAGGAATATAATAAAAAATAAAATGAAAACATAAAAAGATCCTCCTCCGCTTGCTCACAGACAGCGGCAGGAATACGCAACCGCTTATACGCGTGACTCGATTGGTCCTGGTTGGTCCCTATCTCTCATTATTCCGCTCAAATCAGCCCGTGGTCATCTCTGAGCCTGAGCACCGCCTTCTGTGCGCCTCCCTTCACCTTCCTACAGAGAAACTCCCTCTGAGCACCTTCCTCCTGTGCACGAGTCCCTGAAGTTAACTCACTTTTTCAATGTAAAAAGCGCTCATCACGCGTGCGCAAAGACTTGTTTTTCTAACACTGCATCAGTGTGATGTTTCCGCTAAAGGATGAATCAAGACTGCCACCTAGTGACAAACTCACGTAAATATCTTTTTTGACTTTGACCAGCACCAGTGATTGCCGCTTTGCCTCAAAGGCAAACCACTCAAAGCTGCGTTATGAACAATAAATAACGCATGTTGAAGTGTTTAATGAGTTTTAGATTGTGATATAAGCAGTTACATTTATATTAGCATTCCCAAATGTACACACAACGTGGGTCAGGGTGTCTGCTTTCAAAATGAAAAAAAAAGCCTTTTCGTAAAATTACGTTTGTGGCACTCAATGAGTTAATATCTGAGTTTAACATTACTCTATTAGAATTGTTTGGATGACAGTGTTTCTGCTGCTGGACACCTGAATTTTTCCTACAGGGGATCAATAATCTAATCAATATCTATCTATGTGCACCTGTGTACAAACTGCACCAGCTATATTTGAAGAGACAGCCATTTTTCTCCACTTATAGGCCACACTTGAATATAATCCGCAGGATTTTATGTTGAAATGTAAGACCTAATCGGTGGTGATGGAGCGTACAGACCCTTCCTGTTCTCCAGTGGTGCTCTAACCAAATACATTGGCCACATCACTACATAAACTGCAGAGTTAGAAGAACAAAGTACTATATTTAGCCCCACTCCTTTTTCTACCTTTCAGTTTAACAAATAAATATAAACTCTTTCAACTGTCATTGTTCCATTGGTTTTCCTAAACTTTGAGAATAGACCCTAAAGTTAAAAATATGTTACGTAATTTATCAGTTTTGTCTTTTTAAAACCCCACTATCTACTTATATTGACATGAATAACCCTGATTGTTGATCCAATAATCTTCAAGTAAAGTAACCCCGAGCTCACCTTCACTGATGGCTTCTTGGAGCAGTGTCTCCCCCTGCTGGAGGTCTGTGGCATCAGCTCTCAGTAACAGCCCCGTGTGTGGACACTCGTGCCCCGTCACAGCCTCAAACTGAGACACACAGATCTGCTGCTTCATCTCCACGATCTGACGCAGCTTCTCATCGCACTCCTTCAGATTTCCTGCGGAAACAGATCAACTGTAAGTGCACTTGGAGATTTATTCTATAATAAAAATAGGGCATGTATATCATTGCTGAACTTTGGACAATATAATAAAAAAAAATGCTAATTTAAGGCTATCCCATACTACAAGGAGGTTTCAAATAAGGCCTCACTTCCAAATGACCTGATCCAGCGTGCTGGGTTCAAAAGAGTGAAAAATAAGAAAAAAAGAGAAAAGCGATGGTATCCTATTCCAGACTATCGTATGTATTGTATCATACCTAAATACCTTTAACATCAGACTTTATATATTTGATAATTAAAATAAGTGTTCAATTGTAACATTTTAAGAAGTATTTGTTTTCAAAACTTTCTCCATGAGAACTCCCGGACTTGATGGAGCTGAGGGGTGAGCATTGTCATGTTCATATGTCTATGGTCAGAGAATAGGTGCAGCAAAAAAGCTAATACTAAATCAAATTGAGTCGCTAGTTTTCTTAGACGGATCCGTTTGTACAATATCTATTGAAAATTTCTCCTGTTGAATGGCTTACTTTGAAATTTTTGTAATTGCACTGTTTCTTCACCGTATAACTCCTCTTCATCGATGAAGCTGCAAAAAAAAGCAATCGTTTTAGTTGATGCAACACAAAAGTCAGCAACAAGGGCTTTTAAAAGAGAGAAATTATATTCTCATTAATTGATTTAACAATCAGTAAAAAAGCAACGCTAAACCAAGAAATCTAAAACTTAGAGAAGAAATGTTATGCATCATATTCTCAGATTTTATACAAATGAAATTAAAATAGGTTTACAAAGTATTTTAATCCAACTATGAAGTTGTTCTCCAGAGAATGCTGGAGATTTGTTTTGGTCAAATGTATAAAAATCCCATATTCATTGAGCTTTCAGAAATCCTAAAGGATTCCTGACTCCCCAATGTAAAACCTATTCATACAAGAGTCCTATCTGTAAGAACATTCACATACATGACCTGAAGGACTAATCATGATAAACATTTACTCAGTCATAGGCCCATCCTGTCACACACGTTATCCCTGCAGCTGTAGCGTCACAAACTATTACCAACAACAACAAACTAAGACTGTACTTTTGTGGGACCATATTTATTCATGTTTTTCAAAACTTTTTTTCCAGACCTCAAAAAAAACTGCATGAAAAGTAATGCATGTCTATGATTTGTGTAATCATAGACATGCATTATTTTGTAAGTAAATATGTAATCTTTATTTTAATTACTGACCAGAGCCACAAAAGCACTCCACACAGAAATGGGAGCGGGGTCGCCAGTGTAAGAGGCCTATTGTACGTATTTTTAGTGGTAGGGGAAACCAGACCACTTGGAGGAAACCTACGTAGACACAGGGAGAACATGCAAACTCCACACAGAAGAGTTTAAACATTACAACTTGCATCATGGACAAAGACCTTAACCTTTTAGATGCCAAAGTTTGTTTCTTTGCATGTCTATGATTTGTGGAATCATAGACATGCATTATTTAGGGGAAATGGGTTGATGCCATATAGTACTTCTTTACCACCCATCATCAACGATGTTGGTTCAACATCACCTTGTTAGGACCAGGGGGCATGCCTTGAATGTATGTTTTTAGTGTGTGTGTTTTCGGGGGGTAGCAGGGAGTACGCTAGGTAGTATTCATTTACCATCCATCATCAACCGTGGGCCCCCTTACTGGAGGAGGTATTTTTGTTTTTTAAATTTTTAAATACTGTATGTTTGTGATGTTGGTTCAACACCAATCCTGTTTCGTATGTGGCGTTTTATTCTAAAGAACCTCTGTTTTCAGAAATTTTTTTGCTTTAAATGTTCTGACTCCTTGTTTAAATGTTTTGTTTTGTGTGTTTTGTTTTTTTCTGGGATGGGGCAGAGATGGGGAAGGACATTTGTTTTTTAATTTTTTAGTATGTGCGTAATTTTGGGAGGCAGCAGAAATGATGCCAGGTAGTAATTTTTTACCACCCACCATCAACGGTATACTGCCCCCCCATTGGAGATAAGGAATTCAATTGTTTAAGCCTTAAGGCCTGGGGGAATGCGTCCCCTGGGGATAACGACACCTATATAATGTTATCTGTAGATGTGTTGCCTAGTTTTGTTTTTTGGTTGAGGGGAGGAGGAAGAAAGAGGAGAGGGGGCGGGGGTTGGTCAATACTGGGCTTACATTATTGACATAAAAATCTTGTCATCTTCCTCCTCATCAGGCATTTCAAACCAGTCCTTATCACTGGCCTTATCACTGCTTTCACACCGGATCATGCGTTGCGTCGACTTTCAATGCAAAGGCAAAGGTGATGTGCGTTTGAGCGTGGAACTGCAGGTGCGTCTCAGGATGCACGCACACTGCGCGGTAGAGACGCACGGACTGCGCGACAAAGGCGCGGCAGAGGTGCAGGAGCGGAAAATCAACGCACGCAGGAGATATAAATATTGCTGAGCGTTTCCTCCGGATGCTCGTGCAGCGACCAATCAGTGAGCCGCAAAGTGGTCACGGGGACAATAGTGGTCTGAGCGAGCAGACTGAACATACTCGTAAACAGCCAAAATACAAGCTACACCAGGACTAAACCAGGACTAAACCAGGACTGAACCAGGACCAAACCAGGACTAAACCAGGACTAAACCAGGACTAAACCAGGGTTGACAATGGAGACTCTGTGCTTGTGAACATACAGTGCCATGCGAAAGTATTCGGCCCCCTTGAACCTTTCAACATTTTGCCACATTTCAGGCTTCAAACATAAAGATATAAAATTTTAATTTGTTGTCGTGAATCAACAACAAGTGGGACACAATCGTGAAGTGGAACGAAATGTATTGGATAATTTAAACTTTTTTAACAAATAAAAACTGAAAAGTGGGGCGTGCAATATTATTCGGCCCCTTTACTTTCAGTGCAGCAAACTCAGTCCAGAAGTTCAGTGAGGATCTTTGAATGATCCAATGTTGTCCTAAATGACTGATCATGATAAATAGAATGCACCTGTGTGTAATCAAGTCTCCGTATAAATGCACCTGCTCTTTGATAGTCTCAGGGTTCTGTTTAAAGCGCAGAGAGAACCATGAAGACAAAGGAACACACCAGGCAGGTCCGAGATACTGTTGTGGAGAAGTTTAAAGCCGGATTTGGATACAAAAAGATTTCCCAAGCTTTAAACAGTGCAACAGTGTTGTGCCAGTTCACAGCTTTTCTGAACTAGTTCAAGTTCAGTTCATACATGCTCAAAGTGAACAGTTCACGTTCAAAGTTCACATTTTTAATTCTGAACTAGTTCAAAGTTCAGTTCATTTTACTTTTTTCGTGAGATACTTAAATATTTTTTTCACACTACGAGCTATATATATCTGCTGTACACCCACAGGAGGAGAGCCTTTTGACTACAAAACAGACAAGATTTATATGGTTTTCAATGGGAGCCAAACGGAGTTGTTCCATCTCTGCTCATAAACAACAGACAGTAATGCGCTGCAGTGCGTGTGTCTATACTTTATGTCAAATGTAAACGGTGTAAACTTTGTCGCTAACTCACCCTGTGTTTTCATCACGACTCGGGCACATGTGAAAAGCACCAGCTCACAGCGCCGCACCGCAACACAGAGTGGGGGTGCGTTCACAGACGGTGGAAACCGTAGGAATTTTTAGATTTCGGCGGAAAAAGTGCGAGAATACAGGAGGGAGGAACTTTCTCTCGTTGCGTTTCAAAAGAGAAAACAGATTCCAACGTTCAGTGATGTCTGCCGTTCATGACACGTAAAATTAACTAATTCACGTTCAAGTTCTTTTAAAAAAAATGTGTTCCGTTCAGTTCAACGTTCACGAAAAAATGAGCGTGTTCAATGAACGCGTTCTTTTGAACTCGTTCACGCACAACACTGCTGTGCAAGCAATTATATTGAAATGGAAGGAGTATCAAACCACTGCAAATCTACCAAGACCCGGCCGTCCCTCCAAACTTTCATCTCAAACAAGGAGAAGACTGATCAGAGAGGCCCATGATCACTCTGGATGAACTGCAGATAACTACAGCTGAGGTAGGAGAGTCTGTCCATAGGACAACAATCAGTCGTGCACTGCACAAATCTGGCCTTTATGGAAGAGTGGCAAGAAGAAAGCCATTTCTCAAAGATATCCATAAAAAGTCTTGTTTAAAGTTTGCCACAAGCCACCTGGGAGACACACCAAACATGTGGAAGAAGGTGCTCTGGTCAGATGAAACCAAAATCGAACTTTTTGGCCACAATGCAAAACGATATGTTTGGCGTAAAAGCAACACAGCTCATCACCCTGAACACACCATCCCCACTGTCAAACATGGTGGTGGCAGCATCATGCTTTGGGCCTGCTTTTCTTCAGCAGGGACAGGGAAGATGGCTAAAATTGATGGGAAGATGGATGGAGCCAAATACAGGACCATTCTGGAAGAAAACCTGTTGGAGTCTGCAAAAGACCTGAGACTGGGACGGAGATTTATCTTCCAACAGGACAATGATCCAAAACACAAAGCCAAATCTACAATGGAATGGTTCACAAATTGACTTGGCCATTCTAACACCTGGATACGTCTAAGTCCAGACCTGAATCCAATCGAGAATCTGTGGAAAGAGCTGAAGACTGCTGTTCACAAACGCTCTCCATCCAACCTCACTGAGCTCCAGCTGTTTTGCAAGGAAGAATGGGCAAGAATTCCAGTCTTTCGATGTGCAAAACTGATAGAGACATACCCCAAGCGACTTGCAGCAAAAGGTGGCGCTACAAAGTATTAGCGCAAGGGGGCCAAATAATATTGCACGCCCCACTTTTCAGTTTATTTGTTAAAAAAGTTTAAATTATCCAATAAGTTTTGTTCCACTTCACGATTGTGTCCCACTTGTTGATTCTTGACAAAAAAATTTTCTTTGAATCTTTATGTTTGAAGCCTGAAATGTGGCGAAATGTTGAAAGGTTCAAGGGGGCCGAATACTTTCGCAAGGCACTGTATGCTTTTTCATGCTCCCATGACTTTATGCAACTGCTTCGAGTGTGTTCGCCGATGCGGAAGTACCGTTTAATAATAAAATGAACGTATGGTGCACCTCCGTGAACACATACTACTGGTCTCTGGACACAGAAGCTGCAGAGCTGCATTATTGGAGATGAACTTTACACAAAAAGCCGCTAGCTTAACTCTGTTAGCGTCAAAGTCCTCCCGCTACTTCCGCCACTTCCGGCGCGCGACACTGCAGGCCAGGACTTCTGGTGTGAAGACCCCTGCGTCTGAAAATTAGGGAATGTGCGTCTGGTGCACGAGGCGTCTGGAACGCTGACGCCTTCCTCTGCGCTTTATGAGGCTCAGAAGGAGACACCTCAATTTTAAGTTGTTGCTTTGTTAAAATAGGCAAATGTTTAGCCCCTATTGGTTGTTCAGTCCTGACCTTCCCTTTTAAAGATCTATTGTCAGGAGCGGATCTCGGAGCCCCCTGTGATTTGGGGACGTTCTTCTGTCTCGAGTTGGATGTGTGTTCCCTGTGAGTGGGAGGGGCCTGGTCTTGGTGCTTCCCATTACATCCCCGAATGTTTGATGTTACTGGAAATAAGAGGATCTTTAATTTTATCACATTTCCAGGAAGTTTTTGGTAATAGTTTATCAATTTTCTGACAAATTAGCAGCTCACAATTTGCATAGATGCATTATAATAGCGTTAGGATGAATCATTTTTTAAGTGAGTCTGAAACGGATCCATTGGGCAGTGATTATGAGGTGTTTCAATCAAACCAGGATAAAACATGCCTCTTCGCACTATTGCTTGCTTGCAATCACGTGACGCATAAACTTCCGGTTGACGGAGTGGTGGTCAGGCCAGCAAGAGTTGCTGCTGATATATGAAGAAAACGCGACTCTTCAGAGTATTTTTTGCTTTTTTGGATATTTCATGACACTTTGAAGCTACTGTGGTGAACGTTCCAACTCATCATTCTAACAATATGCACAAGGCAGAATTTTTCCACTACATGTTTTGGTAATATCAAGGTTGAAGCTACTGGCACAGCGGTAAATGCTAATATGCTAATATGCTTATAAGTCTCCATTCCTCAGCTGTATGTCACTTACATTCCGTAACGTCTTTGTTTATGCTGCCTCTACCATCGACAATAAAAAATGTCTTCTGTCTGAATTAAAGACAAGATCCTAGACTGTCTTTTTATTCACTTTAGATTCTAATCCACAGCTAGTGTTACAATCAAGCTTTTGCACTGCTAAACAACTGAAGGTTTGGATAAACACAGATACTGCAACTTTTCTGTCTGTCTGTGGGTTTAAGAACTCAGAGTTGAGGTCCTGAAGGACACATCCTGCATCGTACAGAGCCGTGTAAGTAAGGATTGGTATGAACTTATCATTCTCAACAAAACATTGCGTCTGTGGCTGTGTTCTTTTCAGGTCAAACATTCACAGTGTTTATTTAAAACGCCGACTCATACCTCACAATGAAGGAAATAAAGATGGGGATGTAATAACTGCGCATTGTGACTGCATGGCTGGGTAAATAAATAATCCTTAGAGGTAAAAGCGTCTGCTAGTGAAATGTTAGCGAGCCACTTTTCCTGCGTGTTTTTGTAAAGTCCTTAGTGCGAGGCTCTTTAGGATTCCTTGTGAAGAGATGAATAAAGTATCCATTAAAGGTTTCACGATTTGATCGGTTAGAAAACTTAAAACAACACATACAAAAGGCTGCTCTAGTGAACAATTAGCTCGGCTGACCACCACTTTGTGATACGCATATGTAATGAGGCGGACGTGACGTCAATTGCAAGCAAGCAATTGAATAGTCCAACCACAGTATATATTGGATAGCAGTATATTTGTAGAAGTTGTGTAAAACGCATACAGAATGCAGTCATCGTGTGTCTGTACCTGTTAACGGCCTCCCGGATGTGGTGGATCCAGACGTCGCGCTCCTTATTGGAGCTGGTGTGGATTTCGTACATGTTGGAGGTGCAGGAGCAGATGAGGTACATGCCTTTGTCCGTCAGAGCCACCTCTCGCACAATCAGGCCCCGAAGAGAGATCACCGGAGGAGTCTTATCCTGGAGGCCACAACACCTGTCATTAAAGGGGACATCACCTGATTCTTTTCTCTGTAATATGCTAGCTCCCATGGGCCAGGTGTGGCTCCCGAACAAATCCTCTGGCGCCACATAGTCCCGCTACTTTGAGGAAGTGTCAGTGAGACATGGACATATCTCCGCCGCATACAATATATATTTTCTTTCTCTGAGCAAAACGAGGTGCGTTGATCCTCCTCATGTCACAGGCTCAGAAAAAAAAATTGCCAAAGAAAGTAGGGGCTGGATGTTGGAAGTCAGAGGACTGAGGGGAGAGGACTGAGGGGAGAGGACAAGTGGCGTGGTATTTGAGGACATATGATAAATAAAAAAATGGCATCAATTGTGCTAAAAACAGCTTTTAAAAAATTACGAGGGAAAACAATTATAACATGGATTTTTAGGTTGTTTCCACTGAATGAACAACAATGAACACATCTCTCCTCTTGACATGGTATTAGACATAAACTGAACTCACCATAGTTGCAAACACATATTTCTGATCCTTCTCCTGTAAAAGGATGAGAACATCTGACAGCAACACGGCATGGATCTCTGTAAAAGAAACGTTTCAAACAGACTTGCCCTCAGAGACATTGCATGATTTTTTTTATTGTTATTCTTGATGCAGATGATGATCAGCTCATGGCTCATACCTTTCTGTCTTCCAGGGGTTCTCCACACCACGGCACCCTCGTGGAGCAGGCTCCTGTTGTTCAGCATGAGGTCTTCCCGTCTGAAGACTCGCTCCTCTGACACTCGGCCCTGGGACTTGGGCTCCAGTCTGGAGCAGATCTCCCGCAGCCTCAGCACCTGCTCATAATCCCTCACCTGAGAGTTCACCTGCTCGATGGTGTCTTTGATCAGAGACAGTCCGTGCACCAGAGACTTGTGCTCGTCTGAGTCAGCTGGAGAGACAAACCAAATTTTATCCATGCCACAGTCTTACTCATCATAACCCAACTCAATATCTAACTTTCTCTGTTTCATAAATACAACAAATAAAATGGTCCAAACAAAAGAGTCTTGTGTATGATATATTATGTAAACATATCTTTTTTTATTACTGGAAAGCTTATTTTACTGTTACATACAGAGGGCTGATTGACTGTGAAGGCTGCCATTATCCATTGAGTTCCGTTAACAGGTGTGAGGGGTTCCCACCTCTGCACCTTCTCCACCGACTCCCACTGATGACTGCTGTCGTTGTGTCCTTGGGCAAGACACTTAACCCCACTTTGCCCAAAGCCCCCACTGAAAGATCAAGGCTATGCTCACACTCAGAGAGCAGCCGCCCTCCTGTGGACTCACCACCTGCAGAGGGTCAGTGAGGGGCTGGTGCTATGAGACTTAGGTGGCATCTCTGACTGCCACCCCCCTGACCCAGAAATGGAAAAAAGGGTAGAAAATGGATGGATGGATGGAAATGGATGGATGGATGGTGTGAGGGGTTAACTTTTGCAGATTGAAACAATTGGATCAGAGTTTGCTGAGACGTATTTAATGAGCCCGAGTGTGTGAGGAATTAAGCATTTAGTATTTAGCCTAGCCATCTCCTTTGCCACTGACGGAGCGCGTGGGGAGTAGAGCCACAACATCATTGCCAACAATTACATTTGCTAAACAAACCTCTTGCTCCGGTTTCAATTTCTTGATATTTGGAGCCGGACCAGAACGAATTACTTTACTATCGCATTCACCGCCATTGCAAAACTATAACCAGCAGATTCGGCGCAAACTCTTGACGTCTCAGACACCTACCTACAACGCCTTGCTGATTGGTTGGATGGGATACAACCGAGGTAACCGCAGCCACTAGGATCAGACCTACACGTACATGTAGGGAAATAATATTTGACCACAGTTTACAGACGGCTAAGGCCAGGCTAATTTTGGTTTCCGCCTGATCAATTAAATAATAAACTCCCAGAGCCGCCAATCAATTCCTAAAAGCATTTTTTTTTTTTAACAATCCTGCATCCATATGTTTTCTGTCCAAATCCCCCCAAAACCTAGTTATGTTGCACATAGACAAAAAGAAAAACAAAGAGTCAAACGCTGATGATCACTTCACTTTCTAAGTTTGGAGGGGTTGTATATATTAAAACAGTCATAAAGTCATAGCTCCTTACCTTCAGTGTTTTTGATGAGCCTCTCGATCAGTACAGGATATTTTGTAATTCTCTGTGTCACCAACAGAAAACACTCGGGAATTCCCTTTCTCCGCACTACGGGCAGCTGTCCGATTTTCTGTTTGATCAAAAATATGCAAATCAATAAACTAGTATCAAATAAATGGTTAATGATTAAAATAGTATCCATTTATCTTACCTTTATGTGGTTATGAAACTTTTTGCTGTTCTGAAGTTGCTCTTTGTAAAACTTGGTAGCATCGTTCTGGTGACCGCAAAAGATGCTGTAGCACTGCTTCATCCCCTCTCCCACAGAACCAGAAAACTAAAAAAGAAAAGATAAGATTCAATATACCTAAAATGCATATTCAATACAAAAATAATCTCTTCCTCTAGTCCACGGTGTTCCTCAAGGTTTAGTTCTTGGACAATTTCTATTCAAACTACACCCGCAGACAAAGTTGCTACCATGGCCTTGAATACTACTATTTTTCAATAAACATCCACTAATTCTGATCTCAGCTCAAATATTTTCTCAATTGCAACAAAAGCGAAACAATGGTTGACCCCCAAAGCCATGGAACATCCACATATTAAACCAGTCAACAAAGACAAAATGAACATTTCTCATTCTTATTTCTAGCTCATAAGAAGTCTGTAAGACTGCCACCTGCAGAAATTGTATACTATTTCAAACATACCCAGCATAGCTCTGGCACTGGGGCAACTCACAAGGGAAAGGGGAAAACAAAGTGAACAAAATTATCTATTTAATGACAATCAATGCAGAAAGTGTCCAAGTGGCAACAGCAACAACAGCAAATCAATCAACAGCTTCTTATGCTTGTCTCACAAACACACATTTACATTGAATAAAAACATACTGCTGCATTCAAATACACAAGCTCATAATGGTGAGTCATGTGGACAATCACCTTCAGATTTGTATACTTTCTGTAAATGGTCTAATTTGAAAAGGTAAGAAAAAAAGACTTTTCACACACTGCATGTAGACTTGACATTTCCACACTGTAAAAAGGTGCAACAGAACTGCTTCTCAATTTTCAACCCAGACGTCAGTGGGCTTGTTGTTTTCATATCAGAGATTTAAATGTTCACAATATATAAATGATCCACGAGTGTCCACAGGTGATTATAACATAAGACTAAATCACATGCTCTTGGACAGATATAGTCACCTGTGTGATTATGATATCTCCGAGCTGAGTGATCTGGTAGTTGTTGTTGTCTCCCTCCATCTCTTGGCTCTGTCTTTGTCTCCTCTTCAGTCCATCAAGGAAGTGTTGGTGATGAGAGAGCAGTGCATCCACGGCTGGAAACAGCCGCTCGAGCCGCTGGTCGTCCACCAGCCCTGACTGTTTGAGCTCGTACATGTAAACGTACAAGAGGATCTTCAGTGTGTGGACATGGTGCATCTCTGTCTGCATCAGCTCTGTGAGGGAGAGGAGGGAGATGAGGTTTTAAACAGGTGCCTTCTCCAGATTGGACACATGTCTGTGAATCCAATTATCAATGTATTGATGATTGCTGTATGTGGACAGAAGTGTCTGAGCCGTTAAATCAATCATCCCCTCCTTCTCCTTGTGTGGCTGCTCCTGTCGGTGTGTACATCTTATCTGTAACTTCAACCCTCCTGTTTAGGGCTGTAACAGGTGTGATCAAAAATTTCCCTTAGACTTGGTTGTGTGAATTTACCATAGATGACCTCCTGTCTCTTCACTGCCTCTTTGCTGAGGTCCTTGATGTAGCTCTGGTCCACAGCCAGACTCCAGGTCTCGACCTCTAGGTTCAGAGCATCACTCTCCAGCTCTTGCTGCAGTTGTGTGTAGTGAGAGTCTGAAAATAACAGCACAAATGTACACATAATTCATTCTTAAAGGCCTTGTCAGAACAATTAGTCGAATTTTAATCATTTCAATTAGACTGACCTTGGTCGTTGATTGAATCAGATTCGTCAAAAGAGAACCTTTGACGTCCATGGACGTCGAACTCGTCCATTTGTGTCTCTCCAGACTTGAGGAACACAACAGCACACAAACCTAACAAACAATATCCACACAAAAAAAATGTGTCTAATCATCACAGTAGGTCTACAGTTTATTCCTCTCAGAAGAACATGACTTCACAATTGAAGTGTCTGGACATCGAGACTTTATGGTGAGAGGTCAGACAGAGACAGCCACAGAGACACAGACACAGAGACAGAGACAGAGACACATAGACAAAGATACAGACACAGAGACACAGACACAGACAAAGACACAGAGACACACCTTGGGCGTGAGTTTGAATCCTTAGATATTTTGGGGGAAACAGTCATCACTGAATTGAAGCCATCAGAGACCAGAGCTTCGTCTTGACTCTAGACACTGATGAGTCTGCAAACACAACAGCAGAGACTTTATATGACAAACATATACATGGTGCCACCAAAGGCTTAGGAATCAGGTGATGTAGCAAGATGTTTGTTGCTGCTCTTTTGGAGAATTTACAGCGAGTTAAGAAACATTCACAGCCACAGGCCACTTTGTAACACTTGTTTATGACTTCCAAAACATAAGAAGCCCAGCTTTGTTTACAACTGGAGGGGCACAGCAGATAGCTAATGTTGGGTCATGTAACTGAATGTCCCCATTAGGATGTTGGAAGCCATCCATCCATTTTCATCCCCTTAATCAATTTCTGGGTCGGGGAGGGTGGCAGTCAGAGCAGCACCCAGTACACATAGCACTAGCCCCTCACTGATCCTCCTGCAGGTGGTGAGTCCACAGTAGCCTTGATTAATCAGCAGGGGCTTCAGGCAAAGTGGGGTTAAGTGTCTTTCTCAAGGACACAACGACAGCAGTCATCAGTGGGAGTTGTAAAGTAGGTCTTGTGGTGGGCTCAAACCCACAACCTTCAGGCTCAAAAGCCCATGCTCTACCAACTGAGCCACTGTCGGCCCATGTTGGAAGCCAAGTTACAATTTTTTTAACTAGCTCTGCCTGTGTGCAAGACTCTCCATGGCCTTGCATCAAAGTACATTGGTGACATGCTAGTGCCATATGAACCAACTTAGACTGAGGCGCACAGGGACTGGACTCCTGCTGGTGCCCAAAGTCAGGACTAAACATGGGGAGGCAGCATTCTAGGTTGCACCTAGAATCTGGAACAGTCTTCTTAAAGTTGTTGAGAGGCTTCATCTCTGTCATTGTTTAAGTCCAGGCTGAACACTGTTCTATTTAGTGTTTAAAACACTGACTTTTAATTCTGGCATTGAGTGTATATATCTTATTATTGTTCTATAATGTCTGCATAGCACAAAAACATAAAATCATACATTTAGTATGATGCATGAATTGTGCTTTATAAATATAACTTGATAAGTTATTTTGGGGGTTCTGGTTTGGAACACTGAACTCAATGACATAACTGTACACTAGGTTTTACATAATATTTACAAGACGCAAAATGCATAGAAGAGCACAATACTAGTAAGCAAACAAATGCTACTAACATTATTACTAAAGTAAAAGCTACATGTTGCAGAGGAGCACCTGACAATAGTCGTTTTCAAAAACGACCGTCAACCTGTGGAAACAAGTTCAATGTCTCATAGTGAAAAGTTAAAACAATGACGAGGTTTTAAACTTCTTTGCCTCAAAAAAAGAAACTGGTTTGTCCATAACGCCCATCATTCAGCTTCTCTGTATTTAACTTGAGTTTGTGGCAAAATCCTAATCCTAAATAGTCTAAACGTTTGAAAAACTAACGCTAGCGATAGTTGAAAATGACAGTGAAGAGAAACAAGAACAATACTAACCTCTTCATACAGTAGACTTCAGCTGTCTGGTTCTCCATTGTACTTCCTCCATGACACAAAAAGCAGAGGAAGGAAATATCATGTTAATCATCTGTGACAAAATAAGAAACAATACAGAAGCTGCTGCCGGTTATTGGTCCGGAAACTAAGAGACAAAATACAGCATAATTAGGCCCGAGCCCCAACCGGGGAAAGGGCCTATTGCTTTTCCAACGAGTAATGCCTGGGCGAAGCCCAGGCATTACTCGTTGAACTGTTTTAAGTCACAATCTCCGGGCGCAGCCCGGAGATTGTGACCTGCACGCGACGGCACGTGCCCAAGCACTGATAAATCCGTGCCGGAGGCACGGAATGGCTTTGTTCCTGCTGTAGTACACAGTGAAATGATTGAAGTCCTATTAAAGGGGGGTTCCTTCAACTGTTTTATGGACGAATGTCCGGGCGAAGCCCGGACATTCGTCCCCCAAGCCCGACGGCGCGTGCCCAGACACTGACAAAACAGTGCCGGAGGCACTGAATGGCTTTGCTCCTGCTGTAGTACACACTGTAATCAATGGGGTCCTATGGGGGGGGTGGGTGACCTCATGATGGCGAGGTAATTGACGAGCGCGTCAGCGCTCGTCAATCACCGAGAACCCAATAGTTGCGTTCGTCTGGTCGTTCGCTTTAAAACGACGTATCATTTGTATTATAGATTACTATGGAAACCTATATTGTTTTTGCTCGAAGAATTAAAAAAAAAAATTCCTTATTTATTATTTCTTTTTTCTTCTGCACTTTGAACCTTAATTTGACCCCCTGAACATTGATGAAAAGTTGTGAAATTTTGCCCAAAATTCAGAACCGGCGAAAAATTAATTTTTTTGGTGTTTATTTTTATGGGACTAAAAAAATGACCGAACAGCGCCCCCTACAAAAGTCAGTTTACATTGCGCCTATGGGAGGGGGTCAGAGGTCAAGTTTGTCGTAGAGCCACGAAACTCGGTACACATGTTCCTCATGTCAAGACATGAAAAAAAAGTTATTATGGCTCCGCCCCCTGACAAACAGGGAGCTCATTAATTTCAATGGAAAATGGAAAAATGAAAATAGATATTTTTCACACATGTCGGCTGGAAATTATCTCCTCCTCGGCCGTTTCACTGATTTGTCTCAAAATCGCTCCACATGATCTAAACCCATGTCCCATCTATTATTGAATATAGAATTTGGATCAGTTAAACGTTGTCCGAGCAGCGGAGCGGCAAAATGTGACATTTTTTTGGGGATTTTTGACAAAAGTAAATTTGCTCCCGCTTGCACAAACAAAGCCGGATTTGCACCAAATTTTAATCCATTATTTAGCGCCAGGGTCTAGGTCATCTGAAAGTGGAAATATTGAAATTGGCTCATTAGCGCCCCCTACAGACTATGTTAAAGTTTTACATGGGCTTTTTAAAATTTAGTTTTGTCAAAATGTTTGAAATTTTGCACATAATTCTGTTTTGTCATCTGGATTAAAAAAGTCAATGACAACATATGATTTTTTTTTACCCTGTTGCCGTGGCGACGACAAACACTCCCCTGTCTGTGTCTATGAGAAAATCGTTAAATCTCTTAAAAGTACACCTCGCTCAAACATCAAACCAGCCGCGGCCGTTTCACTAATTATTCTGAAAATCGCTCCACATCGTCTCAACACATGGACCATCAATAGTTGCATATAGAGTTTTAATTAGTCAAACGGTCTGAGCGTGACAGACCCCCAAAGTGTGGTCATTTTCATAGAGAGGTGTGAAGTTCCCATGTTATCCAATGGAGACTGTATGGACACACTCACAGATTGTATGAACAAACAGGAGCACATTTACAAACTCAGCACTAAACTTGACTTTGTTGTTCAACTCCTGGGCCTAGGTCACATGACTGTGTGAACAATGACATTGGCCCATTAGCGCCCCCTACAGGCTGAGTAAAGGTTTACATGGGGATAAAGGTATTTAGGTTTTCAGTTGTTTGATCTCATATTTGACCCACTGAACAAACACGAAAACTCACCAAACTTTGCCACAAGTTTTTTTCAAGCATAAAGTGTATTATTTTGGTGTTCTTTGGTATAACACTAAAACATTTTAGATGTAGGGGGCGCTGTTGTACAACATTAAATGCCACCATTTGCACATACAAAGTCCGATTTGCACAAAATTTGAATTGATTGTTCAACTCTCTGGTTTGGGTAAACTGAAAGTGTTAAAGACAAAATTGCAGAAATAGCGCCCCCTACAGACGGAGTCAAGTATTACATGGGGAGAATCAAGTTTACCTTTTCAATAGACACACACAATCACTAATCATAGGTTCAAAACACACAGTGTCGCTCCCATCAGGGCTGCAGGAAAATGGCGCGTCAGCGCCACCTCCTTTGCGCGGTGCGGCGAGGGCCGTTAGATGCCGCTTGCGGCTTTAATTTAATTTGATTTTGAACATTATTTTACAATTCTCAATAATCTGAAATCAGCGATGGTTTTGACAATATTCAGCGAGCGACTATGCTGGTAATGAACACATGCTCTTGGTCAGAGTTACAGTTCCTTGCGAAAGTATTCGGCCCCCTTGAGCCTTTCAACATTTCGCCACATTTCAGGCTTCAAACATAAAGTTATTAAGATAAAATGTTTTGAGGTCCGATACCCCAGAAAAAAAATAAAATAAAAAATAAAATCACACGTTTATTGCAGTAATTTTTGTTAATATTTTTCACGAGGAGTTAGTGGACATGTGTGCCTTTAATATGAGCGGCCTTTGTGGGAATGGTTATATTTAAAGTATTAGAGTAAAATGAGTTTGTACAACACCTGCGGCGCAGCGACGCGAAGCAGGAGCCGTAGTTCTGAGCGGAGCCAGAGCAGAGCCAGAGGTCTCCAGAGATCAGAGAAGTATTTGGTACTGGCTCACTCAGATTCAGAGGAGGAAGACACGCAGGTGTCCAGTGAAGCAGACACAGACATTATTAGTGACAGGAGTCTGCGCCATAACAGTCCACAGTCAGCCACAGTTTACGTCCTCCGTGTGGCCCCGTGGTAAAGAGGCCCGGGCTTTTGGGAGTCAGCGGTAAAGCGGTCCGCACATTAAAAGCGGATAGCCGCCATGGACGTCGGAACTATTTTCTGAGAGGGGGGGCGGGTTTTTGTTGGGAGAGTCGAGGGAGAGACTCATA